CACGTCGTTGATCTTGAGAACAAGCGGGCGACACAGAACACGAACAACCGCCCATAAGAAGTTCGCCCTCTGACCTCATTCCCGAGTTTGACTGGCCGAGAGTCTAGCGCCGCCGGGGGAGGATAACGTCCGAGAGGGCATGAGGTGGACGGCAGGCCGCCTCACGACCGACACACCTGTAGGACACCCCGATGGGACTTCATATCGTCAGCGACGAGGGGTTTAGCATCACTCCTCCGCCATTAGTTCAGCAGCTGGTATAGAGCAGCGATAACGTTTCGATAAATGGGATGAACCCAACATAGCAACGACAAAGCAAGGTTCACGAGTTGCGATGCGACCCTGGTAACATATGAAAACACGTGCGCCTACATGCCCCGCCTCGCGCCCACAGGCGCTTCGAAGCCCACAGCACCGCACTTCAAAGTAGGGCATAGGCCCAGTCCTTCCACCCTTCACACCGCACTCCGCCATTGTCACATCACCAAGAAGTACGCCAGGTTACAGCTCGCCCGCAGCCCATGGCACAGGCTCGCTCTCCCAGTCTTCACTCTCACCCTCTGTCCACTCACCCGCATCCCACACCTCGCCTCCATGATGCGCATCGTACCACCCCATCCTGGCACCGAACATGATGCCGTGCGCAACGGTCTCGTCGTCGACGATATCCGCCCCTTCTCTACCTCCTTCCGGTCTCGCAAGGTCCATCGCTCGATGTGCTACGTCCGGGAGCGGCGCTGCGTATTCAATCTGTACTTGTGACGGCGAAGACGGCTGAGCCATTTGCTGGGACATTTCAAAAGGTGGCATGTCAATCGGTGCGCCGGGACGAAAGAGAGGTTCGGGTTGCATATCCTCGTCCGAGTCGTCCGCGTCCTGAGTCCGGCCGTGTAGAAATGAATCGGATATCTTGACGGGTGCAGCGTCCGAGCTCTCGTCTGCGGTATCCTCTTGGGCTGTAGAAGTGGTCTTCGACTTCTTGCGAGAAGTAGAAGCGCGACCTTTGCCCTTGCCCCTATATGACGTCGATCCAGAGTCTTTCGCAGGCGGAGAAGGGGGAAGGAGGTCCATGTCGAGATCGCCCGCGTCAGACGAGGGCGGAGGCGGGGATGCGTCCACTTCCATGCCTTCGCCATCCTCATCTCCGCGGGTCGAAGTCGGGGTACTGCGTTTGCTCGATCGTGAGGTTGCCTTTCCTTTGGACGAAGAGGACGGCGCTTCGCCGGGAAGCACATCATACAGATCACCGCGTCCAAGCGAGAAAGCTGGTCCACCACGTCGTTTGGGTGGTTTCGGTTTGGCGGCGGGCATAGGCGCGGGCAAGTCATCGGATGAGCGTGAAGGACTTCGCGTGCGCGAGCGAAAGAGGGTTTGGCCCTGGCTCGCAGACTTGACTCGCGACTTGTTCATAGTCGCAGACGAAGGTATCGGCATGGATTCCACGGGTGCATCATCAAATAACAATGTAAACGGCGCGCCGCCTTTACGCGGACTGGCTTCGACGAAACTTGCGCTGGCGTCTGCGCCACCGTACTCATCCTCTTCATCGCTATCGGCGTCTTGTATGGATGCGAGAGAGGGGAAGGGGAGTACGGTCTGCGATGTATCCTCTGTACGCGGACGTTTGGGCTTTACGGGCGAGGGTGACACGGGTTCGCCCCGAAGGCGTTTGCGAGCGCGAGTGACGGGGTTTGACGCCTTTGAGTGTCCATTGGTCTTGTTCTTTGGCGGAGGGGGGTACTCGGGTTCTGGTTCTGGTTCTGGCGCGAGGAATGAAAGTGCGGGGAGCGGCGCGGGCGAGACAGCACGTCGTGGTTTGGATTTGGCCTTGCCGGGAGTGGCAAAAGGATTGGGGAACTTGTGCGAGGGAGATGGGGAGGGCGATCCCAAGACCCGGCGCTGCGACTTGTCTTTTCTGGGCGAGAAGGGATTCGAGGCGGAGGCGGTATCGACAGGTTGAGCGCGCGATCTGGGCACGATGCTCTTGGTTGGCGGTGGCTGTGGTGCATGGGGCTTGCTCGAGCTTGCAACATTGGATGTGCTGCTAGATGACGCTTTCGAGAGCTTCTTGTATAGTTTATAGCGTTCGGCTACAGTTACTGCAGCTCAGATACACAGCCACGATACATAAAAGTCCAGCGCACCGAAGCCAGCCTGCTTGATGTCGTCCACCGACGGCGCGTGGCCATGTTTCGCCTTAAAGTCGCGTTCGAACCCCTTAAGCTCTGCGCGTAGAGAAACGGCGTCGTTGGCCGACGACATGGACGCTGGCGCGAGAGACGCGTCGGGCGCGTGTTTGGTGCGAACGGCACGGTCACGTTCCAGACACGAACTCTCCATCATCTGGACATCGTCTCTGCCTTTGACCTTGTTGCGGGCGTCGCTTAGATATCGATACGAGATATGATGTGTAAGAGCCGCCATGCGCCTTGCAGTTACCTGATACGTAAACTATACTACCGCTTTTGACGCGATCACGTGCATTCTGTTCACATCTGTATTGCATCTTTCTTCGCTTGAGGATCCGAGTACGCCGGGCCGACTGCGTAAGCAACCATGTTCGCATTGCAGGGCGAAGAGAAGACGGGATCAGAGAGCCTGGCCGTTCTTGGATGATTGTGGCCGCCGCGAGGGGTTCTATTCCCAGACGGCCACGGACGCTGTTCATCTCGTAGCAGGCAGCCATGTCGCGGACGCTCGCTCTTGCTTCTGGGTCTGTCCCTGGCCAGCTATCGCGAGTGCCAGGCGGGGCAGGTGTCAACGGCCACTCCATCATCAATCCGTACGGCCGTGACGTCGAGGGGCACGCAAGAGGCCGCCCTGGCCCACAGACAAATAATATGCCTCCGCCTCCGCCGCAGGCGTACTGGCGACCGCAGAACGCTTCCGACCTCTCGCCACCCAGCACGTCGAGCTCACCGCCGGCCGCAGCGAGCACGAGCACGATGCAAGTCGAGCCGTTCCAGAGCCCGCCCTCGCTGCTTTATCGCCGCTCGCTCGTCGACGACCCTGCCTTCTCCCGTAGCAGCGCGCACAACCCCGAGCGCTGGGCGCCCCAGGGCGCGATCGACCCCGATTTTCTGCGCGGGTCGTATGTGGTCCCCTTTCCGGCTGGCGTGCTTTCGCCTCCGCCGCCTGGCGCCCAGCACTCGCCCGACTCTGAGCCCTCTTCCTTTGCTTCCTCCTCGACCAGTCTCGGAATGCGGCCCTCGCCACCCACGAGTATCGAAGACGAGCCCCCGTCGGCGAGACTGGCCTATCTGGATCGAGACGAATCGCCGCAATCTTCACCGGAGCACACACACATTATTCTGCCGTCGCCTGCTGCGCGCGAGAAGATGCGGGAGGTCGAGCGAGAACGTGCGGCGGTAGCTATGGGCGCCAAGGAACGTGAGGCCTACGACTTTGCCCGTCATGGACCGGCGCTCCAGCGGGCGCCTAGCAGCGGCAAGGGCCGGGATCTGCCAGCACCGCCGCCATCACAGGGAATGGAGGAATGCCCGCCATACGAGGAGACCGTGGACCCGGGAACGGGCTCGACGACGCTCGCCGGCCACCCGGCGAATAGACTCACTCGGGCGGAAAAGGGAGCCCCGCTCGTGCTCTCCTACCACGCACCTCCTCCTCCTTCGCCTTCTCCCGAGCCACCATCTATGCCTCTTCGCAAACCGGACCATCGCCGCGTACACGTACAGGAACAAGAACCCACGCCTGACCAGCCAAGCTCCAGCAAGGGAAAGCAGGCTCGCAAACCCGCCGTCTCCCGCAGGCACTCGTCAAAGCCCCCACCGCGTGACCTGGACAGTATCGATGAGCTTGATGAATCGAGCCCTTACAACGTCGCCATCCACCACCGGGGTCCGTACGATGCCATCGCTCGCACCGGCTCCCGCGACCCGCGCGCTGGGAAAGCTGTCAAGGCTCATCGCGTGCGTTTCTCTTCTCCCAATTCACACCGATAAGGAACATGCTGACGATGTGCCGCCGTCATAACCATAGCCCTCTCCGACGGTCGACAACCCGCTCAAGCTAAACCTCAAGCCCGGCCAAGTTCTCTCCGGTTCTATCTTCCAGCCTCCGAGCCAGCGCCAGCCCACGTTCAGCCAACCGCTCAACATCTTCGCAGGCCCGCCACTTCAGCCCGCGCACGCTTCTCGGCCGCACCCTCATTTTGCGAGTCCGCCCCACGAATCGCCGTACCAGCATGCTCATTCGCTGTCGACTCCCCGAGATTCACACTCATCCCTCCATGCGACGTCTGCACCCGCGCCTGCATCTCAGCCCGCACCGCCCATGCCCTATCTTGACCCCGCTCTTTTTCCCGATCTTAACGGCGCAAACGCACTGCCATCGGCGCCAGGCGATTCCAGCACCCTTCCCGCTTCTCTTCCTTCTGGAAGCGCCTCCCATTCGTCCCTCAAGCTGCCGCCTCCGAATTCCAGACCCAACCCCAGCGTTCCTTCATCTCACTCAAACTCAAGTAGCAGCCTTCCTTCTGTTCCTTCTGCCGCGACCCCAAATACGCACTCGGTCAACGCGACCTTCCCGCCCAATCGCCGCACGAGTCTGCAGTCGCACAGCTACACATCTTCACCCAATGGCTCGTCGGCTTCCTTGGCCGAGTCTGTGAGCAGCACCAAGCGTGGTGCGCATAGCCGTCCCCCGTCGTTTGTCGGCGCGAAAAGGCCGGAAAGCTATCACGCTGGACAAGTCCCGGGAAGGGATGCATTCTATGCACAAGGACGAGAAGCGCACGACTCGTTCTTTGGTCCGCAGACGCCACCGCAACTTCCCGCTGGGCTCGGTCATGCCGGAATGAGCAGCGCGCCTTCCCTCGTGCAGAGAGGCGGGAGCTACCAGGACTACCAGCAGGCACCTCAACCGCAACTACCGATGCCCACACCGGTCCAAGTCCAGTCTCCGCGGGATCGCGCCTCGATGCCCCCACCTTCGCCCCTTGGCGCGCAGCCTATGTCGGCGTCCGAATTCCTGCCTCAAACACGGGGGCAGTCGAGACACGCGTCGATGCCACCACCTGCTTCACCTGCGATGGTGGGCCCGCCTCTTATGGTCACTCCGCCAGAACAAGAACCTGCCTCGCGCTACGAGGCACCTTCTTCTCGCCTCGCGGCACTCAATGCTTCCGGCGGGATATACGGTCCGAATGTCGACCTGCGTACGGGCTCCAATGTGGACATACGCACTGGTCTTCAGACACCGCTTGACCCGCGTTCGCTCTCTTCCGTCGACGTTCGCAGCGCTCGTACGGGTGCGTCTTCCGTACGCACGGGTGGTAGCCAAGGTCCGCTAGCCCCGCGGCATATTCCTCGCAAGCTCGTCATGCCTACGCCGCTCGCGCAATCCATGCCCGCGCCGCCGCCGATGATGTCGTCTCAGTCGCATTCGAACCATGGGCATGAGACGCACCCCCCTGTCTCGAACCATGGGCATGGCTCTAATCATGGTCACGGCGGCGGTCCTGCAGCGCCTCCGTATCTTCCCCGCGGTGCGGCGCCACCAGCTCCAGACGGCGCGCCGGCTGTTCGGTTCGCGCAAGCAGCCGTACAGCCCGTGCCGCTCCCCACTCCGCCTACTCGTGGACGCGAGCAGTCGGGACTGAGGAAGGCTGCTACCATCACACGGTATGACGAAGCCTCGAGAGGGAACCTGCTCAAGAAGAAGAACGCGCCTGCGCCGAGCGAGAGAGCGAGGAGTGTCAGTCCCGTCAAGGAAAAGAGCGGAGGGTTCTTGGCGGCTATCTTCGGGTTCGGAGAGGGCGGAGGTAAAGAGAGGGCGAAGGAGAAAGAGGGCGTAAGGAGGACGCAGAGCGTCGCTGTACGTGAGGCACCGCTCGCGGATATGAGGAGGGCGGCGACGGTGAAAGCTGGGAAGGAGGACAAGGAGAAACCGAGGCGATTGTTGAGCAAGCGCCGATGAAAATTCTGTCCTTGTTGGATTGCATCGAAAGTTGTGTTATCTTGTTTCTTCATGCTCTGCGTTTCCTACTCTCAACATGCCTGTGGACCATATCCCGATGCTCTGCTCTAGAACTCTTGACCCTATGTCCCATACGACTCGTTTCATGCCCTTTGAATCTATCCCTCCACGCTCTCCATCCGGACATGCTCGACGCACGACACGGACCACCCATCCCCTGCTCATGCTGTTACCGATTCCTCACGCTCGTATACTCCCCTAGAAAATGACGAAAGTTTCCAAACGTGTACTATTCCTACCACTCGTTGTCGACTCGACCCTCTCTTGCAACAAACCTTCGTAATACCCCTGCCTACGGTACTGCTCTGCCCTCGCGTCACCCCTCTTCCTCCAATCCCGCCTGTCTTCATACACCGATTAGGCCCAATTTTTGTCGTGCTCGGATGTATGTACGCCGAACTCATTGTGCCCATTTCACCATGCAGAACTGTATAAATGAAGATCACTCGTGTCCAGGTCCTGTCCAGGTCTAACTTTGTAAGTGCTTATCTGTCAACCAGCTTTTTACAGTCGATAATTTTTGAACAATGTTTAAACTCCGAGGGCACATGGTGTAGTTGGTTTATCACGCTCGCTTAGCATGCGAGAGGTGTCCGGTTCAATTCCGGATGTGTCCATTCATTTTTGCGCCTTGATCCACAGTGCTGCATCCCAATGTCGATCATCAGTGCATCAGGGTCCAATACCTAACAAACTTTCTCATGTTTGGGTCTGTCGTTTTCTCGCCATCCTTCAATGGACCAAGTCAAGTCCGATTGATTACAGTCAATATAAAGTCGATCGACTATAGCTTCGCCTTCATCGGCCGGGCTCTCATCTCCCTCGCCTTATCGCGCAGAACACGTCGAAGAAGCTTCCCGCTAGGATTCTTGGGGATAGAATCTACTATCTCCACTCCACCAGTGAGCCTTTTGTAGGCAACTTTGTGATCTATAACCCACTGGGTCTTTGCGTGAGTCCGGCGAGTTCACTCACAAGACATGCTTGGCGTACTTTGGCTATGTTGGCCTTGATGAAGTCGGTAGACCCAGTGGAGGCACGCTCGGCTGCATCCTGACTGAGCACGACAAATGCGAGAGGGACTTCACCACTGTACTCGTCAGGTACACCTACTACACAGCAATCGGCGACGTCTGGGTGTTTCAAGATGTGCCCTTCGAGCTCTGCGGGTGCAACCTGGAAACCGCGGACCTTCATGATCTCCTGCAGTAGACATCAGCCCGGGCACAGCAAAGACCAGACAACATTAAATTCACCTTCAAACGGTCAACCACGAACAAATCTCCATCCGCATTCATGTACACTTCGTCGCCTGTCCGCACCCATCCGTCGACGAAGGTTTCCTTCGTGGCCTCCGGATTGTTCGCGTAGCAGAGGGCCATCGAAGGACCGGTGACGTATAACTCGCCAACCTCCCCCACACCCGCCCAACATCCGTCCTCCTTGACAATACGAGCGCGACATCCCGGTATAAGGCGCCCTGCACTGCCCTGCACGCCAATGTGCTGATCAGGCGGAAACATAGCTATAGTCGTGGACGTTTCGGTCATGCCATACCCTTGCCCGATAGCGGCATTGGGCAAGACCTTCCGTATCTGTCCAGTGAGCTCCGCTGGGACAGGTGCCGCTCCCGCCATCATGACACGAACATGGCTGAAATCACGACCTGATGCTGCAGGATGCTGGGATATGGTTCAGTACCACACACAATGTATGGTGATTTGTGATGCACTCACTTTGCATAACTGCATTGAGTCAGAGGGGCGACGAGTATGAGAGTACAGTGGCATACCAAGACGACCTGAGGAGGTACGAGGTACAGATGGGTAATCTTGTACTTGACGATGCTGTCCATAAACTTCACGAAGTCGAATTTGGGAACGACAACGACGGACATCTAGAACCCTTTGCTTTCAACATTCGAATCTTCGACTATGATGACGGAGCTCACCCCGCAGAATAGCGAAAAATGCAACTACGATAGCTGAATACGTATTGATCATCTCCAGAATGAGAACGCACCACGATGAGTAACCCATATATGTCTGTGAACCGGTCAGCCTTATACACTCCACGGCACTTTTTTCCATGTCACGTACGGAAGAATGGCAGACACGCCAATGTCAAGTCGCCAGGTCTATGACGGCGCCGTGCAAAGGGTAGAGAATCGTTGGCACTGCGATAATGGGCCTGCATCTGTATGAGGTTGGCGATGGGTGCTATATGGGGAATGGCAACAGCCTGAACATCCAGTATCAGTGACAAGACTCTGGGGAACGTCTTTCGAACATGACAAGGGTTTACGTCCCTTCGGTTTCCCGGTGGTGCCGCTCGAGAATGACAAGAACGCGATCTTAGTCTTGGCCTCGCCAACCTTCAGTCTGCACTCAGCGAACTGTGGTGGTCGCGAAAGGCCAAGAGTAGTGAGCTGTTCAAAGCAATGCACACCCTTACGTGCGTCGGAAACGTTGACATGCCTTTCGAGGACCACGACGCGGTTGGCGGGAATGCCAGCGAGCGATGCCGCTTCGAGCGCAGTAACCAACGACTTTGGATGTGCAACGATGGCACTAGAGCCGCTAGCAGTAAGCTGATAACGAAGCTCCTCGGCTGTGAACGAAGGGTTTGCCGGACTGTGCGGTGAATCAGAAGACAGGCACGTTGCACGCGCAATGAGACGTACGAGACGACCGCGCCGAGACGGTGAATGGCCCAAATGGCCACTGGATAGTCTAGACGAACCACATCAGCCGGAAATATAGGGAACTATGCCGTACTATGCGTACCGACGTGATTGGGCGAGAATATGCACATGGTTTCCCCGTCGCCTATGTATGACATCAATATACACTCTTCAGAGGTGTGCGAAGTTCGAACTCACGAATGATATCACGGACGCTCAGTCCATTGGCAAAAGCGAAGACACGAGCGCGAATCTGCAGTCAGGGTATAAACCCCACATACATGAGATCACCACTCGCAGCAGATGGCCATGTCCGCCGTTCCGCACCTCTCCCAGACCAATCGTCCTGCCGGTCTCGTCCTGAATGAGCCACGGTACGCCTTCAGGATGCGTTACTTGAGCGGGATGGTGCACGTCGAGGGTGAATTGTGCGAGCGTGAGATCGTCTGGGATGTGGTAAAGAAGTGGTTCGCGAGCTGTGAATTCAGTCATGACACGCTCAGGGATGGTCCGCCGTCCGGGGTGGTCCGTGAATGGCGAGGGTGAGTTCTCAACGTCTGCTTCGGTTGCCTCATTTATAGTCCGTGACGATTCGGTCGTAATCAAGGTAGGGTACTATCGCACCTGCATCCGATTTGACAGCGCGCCTAAACTGGATATGACATAGTGCAACGTGATCACATCACATGGAAGTCAAGAAGCGTGACGACTCGTGCGCGAGAGCCTGCAGATCGTCCCGAAAGGGCAAGGATTCATTACACACAATATCTTTATATTAGAGCAACATTGCGAAGGGCCAAACCTGGCAGGCATCATCGACTCTACAACTCGACGCGGTCATTTGTTGACCAGGCAGCCGTTTGTGTCGTCTTGGTGGAACCCATACTGGCATGGAATATTCCACAGAATCCTATGGATCTAGAGTGGTGACACGGGCGTGTCAATCATAACACAAGGTGTGGATATCGGATGAACGTACACCAGAACGCTACGATGTATTCATGGCAAAGGGATCCTCGGATACGGCGCCGTCGAGAACCTGTCCACCGCCCAGAAGCGTATCCTCGGGCTGCATTTGGGACAGCTCGTGGGCACCTTCAAATGGCTCTCCGTCGGGTCCCAAGCCAGACATGTCCAATCCTGGGATCGTGGTCTCGTCGAGTTGTGCCGACTCGGAGACGGGGAGCGGCATGCTTAGAGCGCCGTCCAACGTCCCGACATCTCCCAACGCGCCTGTACCGAGGGGATCTGCATCGCTCGCGCCCAGGTCGTCTGCGCCTAGTGTGGCGGTTGCATCTCCTAATTCGACAGTTTCCTCGCCCAGTGGCCCTGCCCCATCCGCTGCGGAGTCCTCCATTGCGGCGTCGTCCGGGCCGAAGGACATAGAGAGTGGATGCGGCTTCGGTGACGGAGCCTTGGACTCTGTATGACTATCCGCCTTCAGGTCAGGTTCCGATGTCGCGCGTGAAATGGCCTCGGGAGGGACCACAGACGCAGCAGGCGTCGCCGCAGCCGTCTCGTCCTGCGCATCCTCGTCGTCTTCAATCACTTCCGGCTCGTCCGGCAAAGGCGCAAGCGGCTCATCTACACCACCTTCGTCGTCGTCGAAATTCTACATATATTGTTGGTCAGTATGCGACGAAACTCTGTGTGGATGTTTAGTACCTGTGGCTTGTCTGTCTTGACCCATCTGTACACTTTGAAGCTGGCACCCGCGTCGGGTTTAACCCACTGCCTCTCCCAGCACGCGACAGGTGCCATGAGTTGCCTGCGCGCGCTCTCCGTCGTCGCCGTGCTCACTCCCACTTTTCTGCGCGTCGACATGCTTTCAAGAAAGACGAGGTTGCGGATATATGGCGCGCGTTCAGACCAGCGTTCAAACGCTGTATAGACAAGAGTGAACTAGGAATGACGGCGTCAAGCGCGTCGCGCGTTCGAACGTGCACAACCGGCGCGTTCGGACCGACTCGTCACCCGCGCGGCACGCATCTTCTCCCCGCTCCATGACATCCTCCCACTTTGGTGCTACAATGCCTCGTGATGGACACTTAGAGACCAGACCCTCCCAGCTAGCACGATGAGCGTCAGTCGAGAATCTATTGCGTGCGCCGCTCACGCGTGCTTCTGAAGCTAAACTTACAACGTCGCTGGGCAGGCGGTACGAACGCGTCCTTCGCGAGGACCTGACAGCGCTTCGGGCCCTCTATTACGGCAGGTCTGGTCCGTATTGTACCTTTTAATACCTCGTTCCGGTTTTCCCCTCGCCTCCTCTGGCTCATCTTGACGTGAACTCTTGGCACTGGTGCGGTAGAGAAGATTTCGGCGCCACAGCGCCCGCAGTAAGAATGGCGGGATGGTGATCTTCAGGGTATCTGATAACGAGATCATGCGGTCTCCGGCCTGCCCCAGTAATCAGATACCACCAATCTCTCGCGCCAAGACTATTTGGTGTTGAATATAACCTCCAGCGCGGTGCCAGCGTCGTTTTCCGGCGCTCGTCTCTACCGGCTCCGGTTTTGAACAGACTTGTCACCCAGTTCTGCTCGCTTGAAGAAGGTCAGCCTCTTCCGAACAGATTGCAAACTTTCTTGTCCTCACTGAGCGTGACGGACAGACCCGGCCTATCAGCAGCGAATTGTCATAAGTATGCACCTCTCCCTAATCCAGAGGCGCCGGACATGGCTTTGCTGACGATTATGATCCCCAGAATGTCCGACTCCCTATACAAGGATGAGAAGGCGAGCATTGCCTCGACGACGCCCATCGACGAGCTCCGCCCCAAGCAGGATAATGTCGGTAGCACGTACATCCAGTCCCGCGGTGTCACGGCCATGGAGGCCGTCCATGCCAGCGTGCGTCGCAAGACCAAGCATGGTCGTCTTGCGCTATGGGCTGTGGCCATATCGATCATGATCTCCGCCTGGGCCTACTCTCTCGAACAGTCCACGACAAGCAACTATGCCGCATTTGCGACCTCCGACTTTGCTAGCCATTCGTCTGGACTGGCCTCCTTGTCCATCGCGACCAGCATCATCGGCACCGTGTGCAAGCCGTTTATCGCCAAAATTAGCGACATCACTAGCCGGCCGTACACCTATATATTGACGCTTACCCTCTTCGTCGTCGGCTACATCATCATTGCCTTCTCGCCCACTCTGGCGGCTTATGTGATCGGCTCGGTCTTCGCTGCTATTGGTGCTAACGGGCTCGACTTTCTGAACGACGTTATTGTGGCAGATTTAACCCCGCTTGAATGGTAAGCCCAGTAGTTCAGACTATTGGGACCCGTCATTCTGACCTCGATTTCTCAGGCGCGGTTTCCTAGGCTCCATGCTCAGCACGCCGTTTTTGATCAACACATGGTTCGCTGGACTCATCGTTTCCGATTTGACAACCGGCGGCAACACTGACTGGCGCGTACGTAGTTGATCACTCATCCTGAATTATTGATGCTTAACATCGTACAGTGGGGGGTGAGGGACGTAAGAACTGCACGCATCTCTTTTGACTGACAATCTCCTAGTATGGCATGTTCGCAATCATCATCCCCGTCTGCTTGGTGCCGGCTATCGTAACGCTCATCTTCCTCGAACGTCGCGCCACGAAGGAGGGCCTTGTGAACCTCGCCTCAAGTACATACGCTCACCGACTAGCAACAGAAGCCGCTGCAGAGAAGGGGATCGAGGCTCCCAAGGGCGCAGTTGAGGCCCCTGCGGTCGCGGTGGAGCTCAGTTGGGCGCAGAAGTTGCGGAGCGGGCTTGCTGAGGCAGACGCGTTCGGTCTCATTTTGCTCGGTTTTGGCTGGACCCTCTTCTTATTGCCCTTTTCACTGGAGAAGACGGCGAAGGGCAACTGGAACAAGTGCGTCAGATGAGCTCCTTCATGCTATGCAGATATGCTCACAGCACTCCAGTCCCTCCATGATCGCCATGCTCGTCGTGGGCGCAGTCTTGCTAGTCGCATACGTCCTCTATGAGCGGTTCGTTGCGACAGTGCCATCGTTCCCTAGGCGCCTTCTCTACAACAAGACGTTCATGAGTGCGTGCTTCGAGCTATGTGTCGGGTTCGATATACTGATCGTGTACCAGTGGCGATCGTCATCGATTTCTTTTACCTGATGTGCGGCAATCTCCGCGGTCTCTACCTCAGCTCGTATACCTACATCGTGCGTTTCACGTGCTGCTTGAAAGTTGGCTCTCCTCCGATATGAACCCCTTCCACAGGTCACGACATGGGACCTGCAAAGCTGGACGTACTTCTCGAACACGATGTCGCTATCTCTATGCTTTTTCGGAGTGGTTGCCGGTCTGATCCAGAGGTGGACTCACCGCTACAAAACTCTGCAAATTGTCGGTTTGTCCATCAAAATCATCGGTACGAGGTCCCCTGACAGTATCACGGTTATGACTTGCCCAAACGCCGCTGTAGGTATTGGCATCCTTCTCAATGGAAAGGCCGCGACATCATCGACTGGGGCATTGGTCATGTCGCAGGTGTGCCAACCTTTCTCTTTGAGCCCCGCAATGTTTGACAAGTGCCCAGATCCTCATCGGTGCTGGAGGATCCTTCAGTGTGGTAGGATCCCGAGTGGCCGCGCAGGCATCCGTGCCTCACCAGGATCTCGCTTTGGTGATGGCTTTGCTCTCCCTCTGGTCGAGCGTCGGAGGGAGTGTCGGTTCCGCCATTGCGTCCCAGATGTATGCACCTCGGGTTTCCCTTTGATCTCGACATACTGACAGAAGGGCACAGCTGGGCGCATTTCATGCCCAAGAACCTTCGCACTTACCTTCCTTCTTCCGTGAACGATACACAGGTCATGACCTTTTACGGTAACATCAAGAAGATCCATGTGTATCCCTATGACTCGGAGATTCGCCAAGGCGCACTCGAGGCATATCGCCTCACTCTCTGGCACCTAATCGTCCCCGCGGTTTGCCTTTCATTCATCCCGCTCATCGCGGCATGCTTCCAGACCAACTTTTACCTCGGCAAGCAACAGAACGCTGTGATGAACGTTTCGTTGGAGGGAACGAGGGTGGACGATGCGGTCCCGGATACGCCTACTCAGCCCTTGACATTTAAGGACAAGTTATTGCGCTTTTGGGCCGGTAAGCAAAACTAGACAACGTCAGTCATCAGGGGCGCAGATGGTGTACGCGTGTATTTGTTATGCATGTCATTTCAATGCAGCCGTTCTTGTTCAGGAACCGTTTCCCGACTCAAACGAACGGCTCAAAGCTAAAGCATTGCCGCCCGGAAGCCGCATGAGACAAAAGCAATCAAGCAATAGATATATGGGAGTACAGAGCAAAGCTATCTTGAGATCATCACAGTCGAAGCCAAGCCGCGGAGTTTCGCCGCATAGAACGAGCAATATCCCCGCACGCTTCTTTGTCAGGGTATCGCCACCATCCGGATGTCGCCCCTTATGCTTCATTTGAGCGGGCTGAACGACAGGGGAACCATGAGCAACGAGTCCATGTATTTCGCTAACTGTGACGTCTGCGAGGAATGTAAGCAGTTGATCATAAGGGAGAGCAGACAGTCGGCTCGCCTTATGAACCGTGTCAGACCAGCCGTCAATCTGCCAAGCCTTCTCGCGCATCTCCTTGCGCGTCTCGAGGTTCCTTGGAGCAACCAATCAGGCCCTTGAGGACGAAGACAGTGAGGTGGCACAATACGTACGGATACTGCCACAGGTGGTGGACTTGGTGAAGGCGGCCCATCTGTGCGTACCAGGCGCCTACTGGCTCCACGAACTTCCGTCGCGCTTCGATGCCCTGCCGCCTGCGACGAAACGGCATGTCAGCCACTCTTCAAGAAAGCATTTAGGCCCAGTCCCTAACCAAGTCAATTCCCACTCGAGCAGCGCGCCGGGATTCAGTTGGTATGAACGGAGCTCAAAGATGCCGCCCTCCGCGTGAGGCGGCGAAGTCGGTAGGAATGCGAACTCCTGTGTTAACTGAGTAGAGCGAGCGCGCAAGTATGGACGAAGTGCGTCATGAGCCTTGGCATGCTGTAGTGAAGGGTCAGCCGCCAGAAGTAGGGCTTTTGACGAAAGCGGAACCTCGGAATTGAGCAGCTTGTTCCACGTCCTGTCAAACCCCGCATGGTTCTCGTACTCCAGAATGTGATCTGTGGGATATTGATTGGAAAGGCGAGCGGGTGTATGCGGAGCTAATCGCTCACAGAATGTGTCCTGCTCGCCCACTACGACCTCAAAGTTACCAGAGAGCTTCACGTGGAGATCCTTGTCGTCGCGTAAGCCGGTATAGTAGGCCTCCCTGAGCTCGTGGTCAGCGAGCGTTCTTGAGGGCCAGGCGCACGACGTACGCGGCCTTTCTGTACTCCGCGACTTGGTCTGGCTTTACGTGGTGGACTGTTCCGAGCGTCAACGTCGTGGAAGGTAGCGCCAGGGGATGGCCACCCACCCTCAAAGCCGTGCAGGTACTTGTTCCTGGCCACTAATTTGTGATGCTGCTGGACTTCAAGATCGCCGGCTTCCTTGGCCTCCGGGGAGCCATGGAGGATGGACTAAAGTTGAGACTCAACGTCCGTCTGAGCGGGGAAACGACATGGCCAACCTGCACCGATATGCCCCGTACGCCGACGAGAGGCACCCGCGCTCGCGAAAGGTTCGTTGCAGCGCGAGAGAGCATCGTGGTGGGAGGAGCGAGTAAAGGGCGCGTGTATATGGCAGGGCTTCTCGTGGGTGTGCAGGTTCAAGTACAGGCGCCTATGCTCGCAACGCGCGGCTAACAGCGCGGCGGAGGCCGTTGCGCAACCGACGTAATGCGGGGTAAATTACATATTCGACATCTCGGCATCTTCCGAGGTCGCGACCCCTGATTTTTCCAACCACACCTCAATCGTCGATCTACTGACGGTCTACGAGATACGAGCTCAAAGTAACCGAACATCGTATACCGTCCATCTATCCATCACGTCCTCCTGAAGCCGTACACGGAAGTAACGTGCAGGCGTTACTGGGGTCGGCACGGCGCATCTAAACAAGCTTCCATCCCCGATGCAGGCGAGATCGGCACGGGTGGTAGACTGCCACTTGTCAGCAAGGAGGAGACATGTGAAGGAGATTGACCCACCCATTGTTTCCCATCGATAGACGACTCGTATGTGCAACGCTGCAAAAGCAGCGCCGTCGCCTCGTCGACAAGCCAAGTCATGCCCGCGGCTACCTTAGGCGAAAGTATATCGAGCATCATGTAGTCATCTTTCTTCCCAACTGTCCTTGACCATGAGAATATAGAACAGGCAGATGTAGCACGGCCATACCCAGCAGACTTCTGAACGAAGAAGCCTGTCCGGCGTCTACAGCATTGGACGGAGGATGTGTAAGGTAGTTGTCCACGACCTCGCCGTGTAATAGTGCCAAGCTACGTTCCTCATTTGCAAGCATGTCTATGCCGGACTCCACAGTATGCGCCAGAGAAGGCAATGTTTGAACGGATGTCTCCAATAAGCAGACCCGCCCTATGCAGGGAGCCCGTCCAATGAACTCGGGAGGTTGCACGTCGCACCTTCGCTTTGGCTTTACGTCTCTCTCTGTATCCAAAAGAGAGTCGAGGAATGCTCCGGCATAAGTCTGAGAGGTTCAGCAGGTCCCCTGCATAGACAGAACGAGCACGTACAATGTGTTTCCGGTTCCTCAACTCCCCTTCAGATCCAACCGTAAACGCCTGACCGCCGCCAAGCTCTATGCCTTGGTCGAACCACAGCTCTGGTGGCCAATTGGACAGTATACTGAAGTAGTTGTCTGCCATTTTGAGCTGTTCCTCCGTAGCATTGACGAGATGCATCAACTCAAGGAATTGCTCAACCAAAGATCGATGTAGGATGGCTCCATGCCCGAGCCATGCGAAGGAAGCGTGCATGCCGCGATCCTCGTTGCAAATGTAACGAAGCTCAGAGGACAGTCGTTCGTGTGGAGGTAGTAGATGTATGGCTTGAGGAGGATTGCTTTCCGAGATGCGAGCATGAAGGGATTGCAAGGTTTCGGGTAAGACGAGGTAGTCGTCATCCTGCGTGTAGCAAAACGTGGTATTGGCGCTCATGCAAGCCATAAACCTTGCCTGGAAGTAGAGATTCTCCGGCGAGTTCACGATGTGCAATCGCGACGGCAAGCATCCGATATCATCATCAAAATCCTAGCATGAAGGTCGATATGTACACAGGAGGGCTGTAGTCAAAGCGCTCTCTTACTTACTTCGTAGAACACCGGCTTTGGATGATTGTTCCAAATTAAGACGGTCTGGAATACCCCAGCCAGTTCGGGCGCGCACAGGAGCTTCGCTATCCTCCGGACATTCGAGAATCGCGACCAGTTCAGTACTATCGCAGTAGTATCGGCCGGTATATTTGCCGCGTGGACAGGGATCTCGTTGGGATGGTAGCGTGTCCTGAAGGCCCACTTCAAGCGGAGTGGATGCCAGTCTTGAAGCACACACGCGAGGACTATCGATATGGCTAGTACTGTAAGCGAAATCGGAGGACGACATCGCCGTTGGAGAATGGAAGGCATATCACGGACATGCACGGACAGTGTGAGCATGTAGTCTATCGTCAGGCGGCATCGATGGCGCGTGGGACCGGCCTCGGCATAGGCCGTGGGGTGCGGCTTCTTAGGCCGACGTTCTGCTCCTACGCCCATGATCCGAGAATGGGTTCATAAGCTGCACAACTTTGAGAGCGATACATAAGGCTTGCATGGCTTGACCGCGACCGCTTCATCACCGTTTTTGACCCTAAACCCTCCCCGAACTATTCATCTTGAATCTCTGTATTCTGTCAAGCTCGGTATGCGGTCGTCTCTATGTTTTCGAGCAGCACGCTCGACCGCTGGCGCTATGCGAAGACTTTCCAGTCAACTCTCAGCCACCTCCGTCCACCCTGGCTCTCCTACTTCTGTACCTATTTCCGTACGGCGAGCCGCCCTCCAAGTGAGTTGACGTCTGAAAGCACAAAGCACAGGCGCTGAGATGCACTCAGGAACGTCTCGCAGAGATAGAAAGCCTGCATCCGGAACTCAGCTCTGCTTTGACTGATTCATTCGGACGCAGTCACAACTATCTCAGGATCTCGCTAACTGAGCGGTGCAATCTGAGATGTAAGTTGCACTGCCCTTATCGCTAACCCTACCACAAACTGAGACGTTTGCGTAGGCTTTTATTGTATGCCGAGCGACGGCGTGGAATTATCGCCCAAAGCCACATTACTCTCTGACGACGAAGTCGTTCGCTTAGCGCGTCTCTTCGTACGGAATGGAGTCACGAAAATCCGCCTCACCGGTGGAGAACCTACTGTCAGAAAAGGCATCGTTGAGCTAATAGGTAGGCAAACTCTCTCATTGTTCTCTCTACTATCTCATACTAGACTTTCAGCGCGACTGAATGCCTTAAGACGCGATGGATTGCAATCCATCGGCATGACCACCAACGGACTAGTTCTTCAGCGATACCTTCCGGCTCTAATCGATAATGGCTTGACTCATCTTAACATAAGGTCAGCGTTGTGTGTAACCCTCACTGCATTCAGCCTGATATCCGTTCACTCACAGTCTCGATACGCTTGACCCGTTTACCTTCGAAATCATGACCCGTCGGAGAGGCCACGAAGCGGTTCTGCGCTCGATTGATGCCGCTCTTGACTCTGGACGCCTGGCGAGCGTCAAGTTGAACGTTGTAGTCATCAGAGGTCTTAATGACCGCGAAGTGCTGGACTTTGTGGAGATGACGCGTGACCGCCCAGTCTCCATCCGTTTCATTGAGTTCATGCCTTTTACGGGTAACATAAATTCTCGCGATGATTTGCACGCACACTGATGGGCATTTTCTAGGAAACAAATGGGACAAATCAAAAATGATACCTTCGATGGATATGCTGGATAGGATACGGGACCGGCACCCAACCGTCACCAAAGCTTCAGACGAGCTCAACGATACAGCCCGCTCATACCGAATTCCGGGCTATCGCGGGAGCATAGGTACATCGAGTACATCAGGCACACACGCTTTACTCATGCTTTATTTATACAGGTTTCATCAGCAGCATGTCCGACCATTTCTGTGGGGATTGCAATAGACTTAGGCTGACAGCGGATGGTCAGATTAAGGTAGGACTGCACCCTTGTCACGAGTACCCGCTTGAAGTGACACGGGCTGTAGGTTTGTCTCTTCGACGCCAAAGAGATGTCCCTTCGCGATCAAATGCGGTCCGGTGCCAGTGACGACGAGCTCCTCCGCACAATTGGCAAAGCGGTGGGAGGCAAGAAGGAAAAGCACGCTGGTATGGAAGATATCGATGTTATCACAAATCGACCCATGATTCTCATTGGCGGTTGATCAAAAGCTCTCTCGTCTTCCGCCATCTGTAAGCACCGTCTGCAACACCCATGTACCACCCAAGCAAGGTACTAATCAGATATTTTCCAGGTGGTAATAGTCGTTTGGCTTCGATGATCCCTCGGGTGCGCAAACCATTTGCAAACCGGCTTTTCCAAGCGCATTCCAGTGCTTCGCCATCTCGAGCTATTCGGGCGTTTACGACGACACGCAGAGCGGAACGAGCGAAGTTGACTCATGTCGACGAGTCCGGCCGACCTTCGATGGTGGATGTGTCAAGCAAAGCTTTTACCTCACGATCGGCCACGGCGCACGGCCGCATCTTCCTCCCTTTCCACGCCTTCGACCTTGTTTCCTTCGCTGCTACAGACCCGAACACGATATCGTCGGAAGAGCACTCCTCTTCGAAAGATTTAGTCAAAGCCAAAGCCAAAGCGCGCGCCAAAGGAGACGTCTTGACTGTCGCACAGCTAGCCGCGATCATGGCGTGCAAACGGACCTCGGATCTCATACCTCTCTGCCACCCGCTTCCCATCACGCACGTATCGGTCTCGTTGGTGCCGGAGGCCAAGGACATCTACGATCCGGATGGGCGCGCATCAAGGTCGCGGTACAGTGTGTTATGCACCGCGTCTGTTCGCTGCAGTGGGAAGACGGGTGTAGAGATGGAGGCTCTTACGGCGGTTTCTGTAGGGCTACTTACCGTATGGGACATGCTGAAGGCAGTAGCAGGGCGTGAGATGGTCATGGGTGACATCTGCGTCTCGCATAAGTCAGGCGGGATGAGCGAAGATTTTGAGCGCGATGTAGACCATGACGATTCACACAGTCTACATTGAGCTATGTACTATCGAATAACGGCTCAGGCATCAGCATAGTAAGGTCTCACGTGCGCATAACCATGCACCACCCGCGCGGCCGTTGAATTCCGAGTAGTACAACAGCACAAGTACAGTCAAACCCAATCTGACTCCGGAATAATCACTACTGCCCCTTGATGAACTCCTTCAACGACGTCGGGATACCGGTCTCATTGATGCGACCAGTTTCTCTGCCCTGCCAATGACCGCTGTCAGTTCACAGAAGAGATTGATGCATATGGCACGGTGGGCGTACATCCTTCAACCGTAAAATCGTTGGAACGCCCTCTACCTTCCAAGGGTCCTCGCGAAACTTGTTTTCCGCTGGTCTCTTCCATCTGACCTTTCACTTCAGTTATGCTTGAGTTTAATAGGCTGATAGCACCGACTCGGCTTTCGATCCAACATAGATGATCGAGGCGGAAGGGGCATCCGCTCCTCCAAATGTATTCTTTACCTGCTCCTCCACGTCCCGACAGTCCTGAATTGCCATCTTATGAGCCACTGCAACGACTTCCACCGGCTGTGAACGTACAGGGCACCACATCCTCCCCTGATCATCCCGCGATGAATAAAAGATCACGAAATCAGCGCCCACGTCGCTGAAGGCGCTGAGATCCGCTGGGTTTTCCACCGTTTGAATGGGCATATTAGGATCTGGTAGGTTGCGGGATAGAAGTGGAAGCTTTCGAGGGGCAAATGAGCCGCTTTCAAGAGGTTGTCGGGACGTCGACCAGTGATAGATCAATTTTGAGCCGTATATGACATCCATTGGTCAGAATTTGCGTGATCCACGTGCAAGATGAGTCTTGCCGCTAGGAATTGGCGAATCGCACGGGCCAGACACTGGTGTCTCGGATTGTACGACGGCGCAGGAAGTCGCGGTTCAGAGGTAGGGTATTGACTACAGCAACACTGGACGAAAGCTCGTATCGAGAGAAAAAAAAGTAACGCGAACCCACTACCGGCCAAAGGGAACAAATGCACAACGATGAAGGTATACAGTCCGTTCATACTAATAAGTAACAAGTCCGCAAGCGGCTTTCGAAGTGTCCGCCAGAAACAGATGCGACGCGTGGGATCGTGACCATGGAGACTCAAATTCTACGAGACGGGTATCTAGCACTTGCCGCTGCTGCAGTCCTTCGACGAGGAGTCGTAGGAGTTGCTCGAGCCGCTCGAGCCGTAGCTGTTGGAACCGTAGCTGTTCGAGGAGCCATAGCTGCTCGAGCCGTAGCCGGTTGCAGCTGCGTAAGCCGCCGTGCTGGTGCTGTACGAGGTGGCGGGCTGCGACGCGTACGTGTTGTACATATAGCCGTTACCGGACGACAGCCCACTGTACGTGTTGCACGAAGCGATGCAGCTGCTGAGAGACGTGTCCTGAACCTGGAAACTACGTCAGCACCGTACAAGCAAGACACTACCACAAGACGCTCACCTCGATAGTTTGAGTCTGGGTGACAGCCTGAGTGACGGTGGCAGTAGCAGTCTCAAGATCCGTAAGCGTGGACACTTGTACGGCTGTTACTGTGTCCACCATCGTCTACACGATAGGCGTGAGTATTTGCTCCGGGGCGTGACCGAAAGCTAGCTGAAAGCGGGCGCGCACCTGAACCACAGTCTTCGTGTTGTTGACGACCTGGGTTGACAAGTAGGTCTTGAAGACGGTGGTCGGCGCCACGATGGTGGTAGCCTTGGTGACGAGGTCCGTGATCTGTAGATGAGTTGAGCATATGGCTCCAGACGCGAATGTCCTAATGAGCTTACCGTCGCCGTTTGCGTCTTGAATTGCGTCTCAAGATCCGTCGAAACCTGAACAACCGTGGTCGGCACGACCTGCGTTCGAACAGCAGTGGCAGTGACCGTCATTGTATCAGTCTAACAGCATGGGTAAGTCAAACGTTGTTGATCAAATATGAAAGACGGGCCATCGTTTCGATCATAGTTTCTTTCACTGTACTTGTGACCACCTTGGTCTGAACCTGCGTCTGGGTCATGACTTCCGTCTGTACAGGAGGAAACATTAGAAAATCAGTCAACGCGCTCTGGTAGAATACACATGCCATCGTCTTTGTCTGCGTCTCGACGCTCTTGAGGGTGCTGGTGACCGTGACCTATAAAGAATCAGCATCGCTGCACCAAACTGACAAACGATGGATGAGGGGCAGGCCGGAGGAAATTCGCGAGCAGACCGGAGGGAATCCGCCGACTCAGCCACACTCTTCGTTGAGAAACGTACAGTGTTGGTGCTAGTGACGACCATCGTATCTACCATAGTTTTCGTGGCAACTTCCGTGTCGGTCATTGTGACCGTTTGCGCGTAGCACTTCTCCGAACTGTGGACGAAAAGATTGAGCGTTGAAACTCACGAGGTCACGTGAGATTAAACAGGAACCCACTGATTGATGATGATCGTCTCGTAACAACCTTCCGTCTGATACTGCATACGGCGTGAGTACGTGGCAACGGGTTAGATGGGGCTCATAACTTACCCAAGACATCTGCGTGCACTTGCCATACGAGTCCTTCTGATAACCGTAGCCGCAGTCCATACTCGAGTACCCTCCAGACTTGAACGAGGAGTACGAGTCCGAGCCATAGCTGGGCGCCGAGGTGATGTAGCTGTTTGCCGAGGACGTCGTCTCGCTTCCGCAGGTCATGCATGCTGCAGCGGACGTCGAGGAACTGGAGCCGCAGGTCGTGCAGTCGGCGGCAGCCGAGGTCGAGCTGTCAGAGCCGCACGTGGTGCACGCGGCGGCAGAAGACGCGGCCGAAGAAGCGGCAGCCGAGGTCGCAGCCGCACCGGCGTTGTTCGCGGGAGTGGTTGCAGCAGCGACTGAGGCGGATGAGCCGGCCGAGGCGGCAAGAGCCGGGTTGGGAATGCTGGAGACGACCTGTGCGCGCACAGATGCCGCGAAAAGCGCGAGGGAAACGGCGAATGTAGACTTCATCGTGTGCAAAAGAATGGATAGGCGAGGGCCGGAGATTAACAAGAGTGCGGTACGAAGCCTCGATAGAAGAGTGTAGAGCGGTCGACGCTGAGACTACTGGCTAGCAGCAGAAATGGGTGGGTGCGGGAATTAGCTTGAGCTGGGCTGAAGCACTCTGGAGCGTGTGTCAGATCCACGCAAGCCGACTACACGACAAGCGCGACGTACCGCGAAAAAGAAAGGACAGGAAAGGGTCTGAAAGAAGGACGAGACCGAAAGCGAAAACCTAGCGCCGGGGAGGGAGGTTGGGAAGAAAACGCGCGGAGGAGCGCACGGTGCTTATGAGGCCGGCCCATCATGGAAGCACGCAGGGTAGGCGATACGATGCCCAACACAACGGTAGCCTCTGGAGGACTCCCATGGCCTTCTCGGAGGCGAGACTGTTGATGTGTTTCCTAGGAGACGGAGAGCGCTCATTGGCTGCTTGCGCCCTCGTGCCTTCGTTTGTAGCCAGTTCGCCCACGCTTCGGCGCCGAGAACGGCATACGCGGTGATCATATAATCACTGACTGTGAGGCAAATACTCATCTAGGCCAGCCGTATCGTACTGAATACTGACACCATCAAACTCATGCTTGAATATTCGGATTCAAACTCGACTTGCATAGGTATAGCCCACAGGTGTTCCAAGTGTAAATGACGAGATGTAAGTAGGTACACGCGTGGCGCCAAGATGAAAGGTAAATAGATAAGCAAACCAATCGGCGCAGCCCCCCGGAACGAGCCGTCTCCTTCCACTCCCCCCTCACGACGAAGAGCTGTTGATGCTGCCCGGCGCAGACACGGCCCTGCGGCCAAAGTCTCCGTGTACATCCAGAAGGATCTTCAGCGCGTTCCGTGCGCGTGTTTGTGTAACATCGTCCGAACGACCAGACGTAAGCGCAGTCTCGACACCTTTCGGGCCATCCCTGAACGGATACTAAGTTCGACATTAGTACGTGGACCGCACGCTCCAGATAAACAAAACATACCGGTACGAACTACAGACGGGACAGAAAGAGAGGTGAGATTAGCTCGACGGGGATCACATACGGATATCTGAAGCATACCTTGTGCAAGTACTCGTACGCCACTAAGGTGAAGCCGAACTGAGGACTGCTGCGAAGGATACGCGCCGGGCCTCCTTTGAATAGCGCCGCGAAACCCTCTTCCCGGTCTATGGCCTCGTCAGTAAGCTCTCAAGTTGCAAAGGGAGTACGCGTACAGATCTTGGAGAATGCGTCGAGAAGACCCTTGTAGTGCGTCTGACCCTTTCGCGCTTCCGTCTGCAAGCGAGTCTTGACGACGTCTACATGGATGATCAGCATCGAAAATAGCATGACGCAAGATATATGTCTTACCGGCAGGCGTGGTCAAGTATGCCGCTGGCATACCACTATCAATGGGCGTTAGCTCAACGCTGTGGGCAGGGCGTCAGTCATTGTAGCTTACGCGATGGCCGCAGCCGACAGCGTCTCGAAGAACGAGAGGCGCTTCCCATGCCGACCCTCGTGGAATACATCGCTCTTCAGATGCGCGTAGGCCGGGAAGTAGATGGCGGAGAAAGGGATATCGCGCAGCAAACAAGCGCTAGCGCCTTTGTATAGTCCGAGCAGTCCGAGTTGCCTGATGATGTGAACGGCACCGCGGGGCACGGCGCCTTCGACCTTGGCCGCCTCACCCTGCATCTGCAAGCGGATCTTCCTGTGACAGATAATTAGATGTGATGAAGATGCGCGGATGTGCAGACACGTACACGATCTCGAGGGGATTCGTGAATACCTATCCGTGTTTGCGTGAGGATCAAGCTTCGGAAACATGAGGTGCCACAGCAACCTACCACTTGGCAACCACCAGCAGTGCCACCGGCAATGAGCTCCCAAGGCACCGGTATCCTTCCGGTTTCTGGGTCCATCGCGCGACCACGAACAAGATCATTGACAGTCAACTTGATGGCCTTCTCTGGCGCGACTCCCTATTAGCGGCGTCAGTATGATCTCGGAGATAGGATGGGTAGCTACGTACAATGAGCTGAGGACCCAGACCTCGGTAGAAGCCGCGAGCGCCCTCGTTGACAAAGACCTTGCGTACACAGTCCAGACTGTTCTTGTATAACACCTGCCCGACAACGTTGTTACGCTGATTCTGCATGCTGTGATCATCTCGTCAGTGTTGTATCAGGGTGATCAGTGTGGAGCCTGACCGTGTCTGCGAGGGCATTAGTTCATCGTGGTCAGATATGATAAGATCTACGTACCTTGACCAGATCAATGGGATACACCATCGTGGCACCGAATGCTCCAGCGATACCTATTGACAGTTAGACATATCATACCTAATGATACAATGGCAAGAATGTACCTCCAAGGCCGAAGTTGTACGCCGAATGTGCGAATTCGTGTAAGAAGGATTGCAATTTTGACCTAGCGATGGTCGGCGCACTCTCCTCGTAGTCACCGGGCGCTTTCCATCTCGGGTCGAGCAGCTGCGCGAAGTCGATCAGCGGGAGACGCTGCGTCGCGTGCCCGCGTCCGGCGAAGTGGAAGATGATGTTCGCCTCCATAGGCGTGAACAGCGAGTAACGTGACGTTAACGCAGCGTGGTTGAGGAAGTCGTTCTGGTCGATACGGCCATCCTTGGACTTCTCCGTGGCTTCCCGAAGGACGCTAATCGATATGAGTGCGAGCTCGGACTGCGTATTCACATGTCTCTCACCGTTCAACCATGTCCATTTCTGCATTCATTTCGTTAGTCTGGTTCATCTAGTCTCAAACCCAGCCTGCTTACCTCGCACGACATTATGGAACGCCACTACCTCAGAGTACGAGATACGCCCGCCGGGCGTGAGCGCAGTGAGCGTTGGCAGCCGTTCGATGACGGCGTCTGACAGCTTGTGGCCCATAGTTTCCTATGCCGATCCCGTCTCAATATTCACGCGAGATCAGGAAGTCACAGAAGTCACGAACCAGAATGATCCGCTTAAACTGGTCCGGACGGATGAAGCCATCCTGATTGTCATCGAAGTACTTGAAAGACTGGCGGAGGCGTTCGCCTTGCAAGCCCTTCATGAGCTGGGTAAACTCGTTATCTGGACAGAAAGTTAGACGCCGGCGGCGTGAGACGACATTGGGCGGACGCACAGCCGAGCACATGGGTTCCGTTTTTCTTGCCGAGGTAGAGCTTCACCCAATCGCTAAATGGGGTCAGACGGAGATACGAGTGGCTCGAAATAAGGGGCAGTACCAGTCAAAGTCGAAAGGAATGGCGTCTTGCGCGACGTTTTGCTGGAATGCGCTCTTGAACTCGTCGAAAGTGATGGTTCCCGAGTTGTCCCTGGGTATCGTTTCAGGACGGTAGATTGATTGAGCACAAGATACGACTCACGAGTCGAAGAACTGGAAGGCCATGTAGTAGTCGGCGTCTGGCCGTTTAAGGAGCGTTTGGAAGACCGTCCAGTCATCCCAGGAGACCAGTCCGCGTTTGTTCGCGTCGGCGACGCGGAAGAGCAGGGCGAACTGGGCGCGACCGATGCGAGACAAATCGCCGGAAGGCGCAACGGCGCTCACGAATTGCTCGGCGTTAAGGAACCTGGCCCAGCATGAGCGTCGGACATAGAGAAATGAATGCCGAGCACGTACTTCTCACCGTTGTCGACTACTTTTGCGTTCGAGTCGAAGGTGCGCCTCCACCGCTTCAACTCCGAGTCCTGGACGCGCACGGCGCTGATGACCGACTGCACCGCGCGGGTAGCCGCGCCCTGGTCTTTCCCAGAGTCGTCTGCCATGGTGAAGTTCTATTCCGTGTCCTATGAGGTATATCCTAACTCGACGGCGTATGCGGGTGCGTCTCGGGCGAACGCGACGCGGGGATGGCGGCGGGACGGTCGAAGTTCTAATTCAACTCTAGCACGAGGCGGGTATTATGGCGCGCTGAAGCTTCTAAGGCCGCAGAGCACGGGCTGATATAGTCTATCTGTAGAGTAAGGCGACTGGGACCAACACGGGCAGGATCGGATGCGGGGAAGGGAGCAACTGCACTCCGTCACTCTTGCCAGGTCATTGACGCACTCGGTCCACCGGGCCGCGCGCGTCTACGCAGGCCTCGGGTCGGTCGACACTGCGGCAATATGCCGGCAATTGAACGGCTCTTCCGTTACATGCAGCAACCCACTTGGTTTTCGAAAGGAATATGGTATGGAAGTGCAAGCATGACAGCTAAGTACGACGGGAAGACTCTAAAGCGACATCTCTTGGCAGTCGAAAGCTGATGCAGTACATGTCCTTATTCGGCGCAACAGAGCGGACAAGGTGCAAGGAAACCTCATCTTCATCGCGCAGGGGTCGCCCGAGCTGTTCGTGAACCCTCTGCAAAGTCCGGTCAATTATGGTAGCGCGCTGATTGGGGAGGCACCTTGCCTGCCGTATGTCGCACTCTGCGCCCTCACGCTCCATCTCCCGTGTGAAGCAATGGCAATGCACCATCGGCATCGCATCGTACACATCCGTCAAATTGCGAGGAGGGTCCTCTGACGAGACCAGCAGCCCTCGAAAGGCATCCAGAAAGGTTATCGCAGAGTCCGGGAGATTCATGACGAAATGAGCGATTCTTCTACGCTCGGCAGGGTGTACTCTCCCACTGCCTCTTGCGGTCTCGGGCGTGGCATCAGTAGTAGCCTCAGGCTTCTGCTTCTTCAGGGCGCGTTCTTCACTTCGGCTCAATCTGGGTGCGTAGGCAGGAAACGGATTGGCAGCGGCATCCCACACGACCCTACGGATGAAATCGCGCCCGTCCTCACAGAACGGCCTTACAAGCTCAACAAGCTGGCCAATCGCAGTCAAAATGGATGTATACGAGGAGTCTCTGGGCGCACTCACTTTGTTATCCTTGATGTTCACCTGCAGGTATTTATAGCTGTTCGGATTGAGATCATTGGCCAGCACACCGCATCCTTTCTTGCCTGCAGGTAGCGCGAAGGGGCCGACTCCAGCAAATACGTCGGCTACTACGTCTTCTCGCTGGAATAGGTTCACTAATCGTTCATGTTCCGCGCTAAGACGCGAGTTCCAGTAGACTTGCGTGAAGTCGAAGGTGAATCGGCAGTCTAGTTCGCTCTGCACTGAGATTAGCGGATGACCGATTGGAACAATGGCGATGGCGTACGTGGTGGACTATATAATCAGGCTCGCCTGCAATGAGCTCCATCTTGAAGAACCGGAATTTTGTATCTATCGAGTTCAACTTGTTGACGACTGTACGGATGGACTTGTTTTTCTACGTATGATTAGTTTTGTGAGCGACTGGATTAAAACGCACACCCACGTCTAGAAATATCTCCCCAAGTATGTTTTTGTATGGCAAATATTCGTCGTTTAGATTCACGTGAGCTAGACACTGGGTTAATATAATGACCTCCGTCACGTCGCATGACATACCTAGATGCCCCACGGCTGCGAAACCGGACGGCGCGCCATCGACCAACTCTTCCGGTAATATAGAGTGGATGATCTCATCTTCGGACTGAATCAGTATAACAAACCCCCAACGACCATTGCAAGTACCTGCTGTCCAGTAATCATAGTTGAGGTCGAGAGTGTAGTCAACCAGATGTGCGTCATGACTGGACAGGAATTCCTTGATTTCGCGCGAGAGCTCGGCTACCTTGTCCGTGCATTAGATGTATACCGGTTCTGGCACGCGTCAGATGCACACCTTCTATCTGCGTGCGCAGAAGCAACAACCGTGGTCCGTTCGGGTTGGCAGGATCAGGTACTACGGTCTTGACTTTTGGTAGAGTGAGTACCGCCCTAATATATTGTATCAGTGTTGATTCTGGACCCATAAAGAGTTTCACGCACTTTTTCAACACAGGTGATCGCAGGATCTCCGCCGTTTTCGCCGGGGGTACTTGTACCGCCAGCAAGGGGACGGTACGCCGAAAGACAGAACGATCCAACTTCTCCATACCCCGCACGATGGGCGGTGACACGTCAAGAGTCGAGCGCGCAGACATTCTGGCAGAGTATGACTTCGATCTCCAGCAGATGGAAGACGAGAGCAGAGGACCGCGTCGCAAGAATGGCGAGCCTCGGATTCCAGCGAACATGTGCGTGTGTGGAAAAGCGTGAGCACGCGACTCGTGCCGCACCTGATCTGGGCCACAGCCCGCGGGAACTTTATTTATTCCTTGACCACCATCATCTAAGTACCAGAGTTGGAAGTCATTCTCTTTGAGGTCTTGTTACTGTATGTTGAGCATACCACTGTCTATGTATTTCCTAGGACAAGGATCTTGATCAACTCGTGTACTCATGTTATCCAAACATTCTCCTTGTAAAAATGCAAAGTGTGAGAGAATATTACGCTCGCGAGGAGGCTAAGTCCTGCCTCAAGATTGACGTTGCAGCCACGAGACGAAATGGGACACTAGGTGCCCTAATGAAAGGCAAAGACGTCGTTGACTCGCGCTATTTTCAGCCGCAAAGCTTTTGCTTTACGGTGGGCAGTTGCTGGACAGCTTTGCGTTTCGCGTTGCCCACGCCGCGCGGGTTCGAAGTGCCCGGTATCCATCATTAAGTTATGTAGATGATTGGATCGCTTATTTTACTGGGAGAAAGCCAGGATACAATGATACTTTGACACTCTGCAGAGAGGATTGGTATGACGTGTATATCCTGAGAGTGATGTAGTACACCGTCTATGCACGTGCCAGAGTGACCGGGAAAGACTTCAAAGAGTCATCGGGATATCAGAACAGTCAGAAGTACAGCGAGAAAAGAGCCGAAGGCGCCGCAGACATGCTTTGTCAGACGTACATGGAATCATCATGACTGAGAGACGTCCGACGATGCATGGGAGAAGGAAAAGCCTCCTCGCTCCGCTTCTGAGATGCATGATCCCAATTTTCGGTTTGCCGCACGATATGATCATGCGTATCCGCGATCTCGAGCACGACAAAACCCTTTGAGATCTGAACGGCGGATTTAGAAGCAGGGCGTTAACGGAAATCATCAGACCGTACCTTGGCAGGGCTGGGAACGTTGGTATCACGGAAATACTGGAGTTCAATGTCGACGACGATGGTAGTCAATGACGCCGAGGCCCCAGGAGATATTTTGAACTTGGCAACGTTCGCGATGGGGAATGCCTGCCGAGCATGAGGAGCGCGAACGTGCAGTCGAGGCTGATTTGTACTCACCCTTTGAAGAGCAACGAAGTGTTCGCGCAGTCTGTCTACCCCGCTCAAGGAGAAAGAGCCACTATTGTCACGAAGAACGACGTCTTGGGCGTACACGTTGAACGTAGACTGATACCAGACTTCAGTCTCCCATATCATGCGTATGGAACGAGGGCATACCTTGCTGGCGGAGCAAGAGTAGATTGTTTTGACCGCTTCAATGATGCGCTCTTCATGGGGCTCTGTATCACGCTCAGGGCTGATGCTCGCCTCTTTGTGTTGTCTGATGATCTCGGGCGCGCTAACGGCGTCCTCGAGACGGCCAGGAGTCGCGCGAGTGGGCTTACGCATTGAGCGGATTCCCTTCAGGCTGGAGGACCGCGAGATGGATTGATTTAATCCGGGAGCGAGAACGCAGACCATCGTGGAGGATTAGAAAGAGGGTGGACGTCCAGTACAGGTTCGAAGAGAGAGTGAGACAGGTATACGGATATCCGTGTTCGCCGCTGCGACTTGATGTGTGCAAAGAGACGACAGTGACGTCGGAATGGATGCTGAATCGGACCGGAGCCACTGAAGGTCACCGTATGCATGCGGCCCTTGCATCTAGGCCCGGGCAGGTCAATCCTGCGATGAGCGGGAGGAACTCGAGAGAATACGCATGGCATTGGTGGTGCGGAACCAGGGCACGTCGCCAGACGTCGCCACAAACGAGATCCGCGGGGCCGTGAGAGCTGCGATGCGCTGCGAAGTCAACTGTCCCACGTCAGTCGCCCACATTGTTCCAGACTTCGCACCAACCACCATCTGAACACCATGACCACCTACGACTCTTTACATAGACAGGCCAGAACACTCGAGAGTCTGTTTGATACCAAACTTACTGCTTATGCGCGGGCCGGTTCGTCAATATCGCGTGGAGGAACCGAGGATGTGGAAGCAACCGGTTCGACGGCGCGTTGGAGGGATATGGAAACTGAGGTAGACGAGCTCTTAGAGAAGGTGTGTTATTGCGAGGTATCTTTGTATCTACCAGGCATTCTGACGTACGAACACATCATTAGCTCGGTGAAACCAATGACCAGATGGCAGCCCTCTCGCAAGACACAGCCAACCCGCCGTCTCACTCTATGTTGCGAGCCATTCAGCGCCACCGCGAGGTCTATCGTGACTATCAAAGAGAATTCTCTCGCACCAAGGTGTGCATGACACGAGGATGATCTCGCATGTTTCTAACGACCGAGCAGCGCGATGTACAGACTGCAATAGATCAAGCAACACTTCTCTCTGGAGTACGAAATGACATTGAGTACGCATATCTGTCTCTATACTCCATTAGCTTCAACTCATCAATTGCGTAGTGCATACAAGTCCTCTGCAACAGAGTCTCTACTAGCCGAACGAGGACGGATTGACGACTCTCACAGGATGATAGACGAAACTTTGGAGTGTGTAACTCCCGCCAACCGTTCGAACCCGCGCTAATCCGGTCAATAGGCAAGCATACGAGACCCGCGCTGATATTGGGCGTCAGCGTAGCGCACTGGGTGGTATTCAGGCGCGAATGACCGGTGTTTTGAGTATGTGATCCTACAGTTATCACTCTCAGCTTTGTGTCTGACCTGCATACTATCCAGCGTCCATGCCAGGGATCAACAATGTCCTATCTATGATCCACAAGCGACGACGACGGGACAGCATGATTATCGGCGGCCTCATTGGCTTCTGTGCCTTCCTCATCCTCCTCTATCTTTTCCACTGAGCTGGACTCTATGGACGTATCTTCATGCTGCATATGATAAATCATTTATATATGTATACTCATCTTGAATTGGATCATCATTGTATGCGCGACGAGTGCTATCCTGTGTATTTTGACATACTCCAGTACTTGCATTTAGTCGCTTGTGTCACTGTCCGGATATTCCTCGTAGCTGAAGTCTGTGCGTCGTTTGCGATTCATGACTCTCTGGGCCGGGTGATCTCCCTTCTCGAACCTCCGCCAGTTCGCCTCGAGCCTCCGTACCACGCCCCAATTATCCTTCATCCCGTCCTCCAACTCCTCATAATCCCAGGTTTGTTCAAGACGCCAACCACGCTCTTTTGCGATGGTCTCCACCATTGCCCATGTCTCCGCCGCGAGATTTTTAGCGAGCGGGTAGTCTGACTCTACGAGTAGCCGTTGAGGGTTTGCTGCCCTGATCAAGGCAAGATGATTCTGCGAGCGACCGTTGATGCATCGGGCAAGTGAGAGAAATGCGTTCGGGTGGTGTTTCTGTATGTTTCCGCGATATCAGTTCGTGTTTACAAGCGAGCAGGTACGATGTATAGCATACCTCGATATCTTTGTACATCTCAGGACTCATCCCGCATGCATGCAAGTCTATACTGATAGCGCGCCAATGAGAACGATGCCGTGCCGCCATTGCATCAAGCACTTCGCGTGTCGGAAGCGGCGCTTTGACACTATGCAGACTGATATTTCGCCTAAGCTCCACGGCGAGGTCCATCTGTGCTTCGAGTATTGCCCTCTGGTGCCCAAGCGGTATGGTGAACGGTGAGAGCTCGCGCCTTTCGCCCTTAGCCTCGTCGAAGGAAAACGGTATACGCGCGGCTTGGTCAAGACCGACTTCACCCAGCATCGCGTTAGGGAAGTCGGTCAGATTGACGCGAACTTCCTCTAATACGTCGGACAAAAGCCTGGGCTCTGGGAGTGAAGGTAATACTCGTGCGAACGCATCCTCGTACTTGGCTTGTGCCTCAGACGTAGGCAGAAATAGCATACGATAATGCTCCTCAGCGGAGTCGACAGCTTTCAGCGCGATGTGATGTGACCACCATGGGTGATAGCCTGCTCTCTGTCATGTTCATGGGCGTACACAAGAGCGAATCACCTTGTGGCGCACCAAACGCGGGGATGACCTTGTCTTTCCAGCCCTCTGCAAGCGCGCGAGTGCGCGTCTGATCGCCGAGTCGACTAGACATGACACATATACGTATTGGCAACGCGTCCATGTCCTCGGGCCGCGGCATGTCATGTTCGCCCGCGTGACAGTGAGCGTCCGTTAGGTGTGCAAGTACGGTGGCGTCGGGAAGCATGGCAACTAAAAAGTATTAAAACGCAGTGCTTTTGGTACGAGAATGATGGCTTTATGGGCTGGGCGGTCGACGAGGTCAGTCGTGGTGGGTGGCTGACTCGGAGTTTGCTGAGGCGCGTCATGGATCGTCTGGCATGAGCTTCCGGTCCATCGGACCGATCATCGCAAGGGAAATATTTTTGGAGAAGCATGTAGAGACGCATGAAGTGAGATTGGCAGTACACAGTCGATATCATACATCGTTTCAATGTGTCCTCCTAACCGAGGCCAAACTTCCGCCCGAACCATCCTTTAGCACTTTGCTCTGTGGCTAGCCTCTTCGCTTGATCTAGCATCCCTTCGCTCGCCTGACCAAGAGAGCTGAAGTTCTCCTCAAGCCCACTCAGCGCTTCTCTATATCGTTTGACAGTCAGTTCGACATATCAAGAGATGGAGGTGATACAAACCCTCGCTCTTCCAGTGCGTTCTGCAGCCGAGCATATAGACTGTTCTGTGTCCCGACGGACGGTCGAGAGGTCGACCTATCCGGTGTCTTCCATTCAACATACCTCTCGCGCTCAGCCCGGGGAACAGGTTTCTCAGGAACGGGACGATTTGGCCCCGCAACTAGACAGAGGCCCGTGATCGATGAGTATGACTACAGCACATCCTGAAGAGCATTACTCACGTAGAGCGTCTATTTGGGCGCCGGTCGAAGCACCCGTACCCATCAGTCCGCCAAACAACGCTCCCGCACCCGTAAATATGCCTGCTGGGCCTAGATCGACGGGTTGAGGTTGGGGTGGTACCTTGAGACAAACACCGTCTTTGCGCTCTGTCAAGGACACCGTTGGATCGTGGTAGCCTTGCTTGGCACTGAAGCAGCTGTCTAGAACAGCGCCTTCGGAGGCTGTATGAGATGACGGCGAGCGCCCAGAGGGGTACACCAGGGTGATCATATCACCTGATGTATCGATTGACGGTGGACTGGGTGACACCGTAGGAAGTGCAAAGGTGTGGAGATGCTCGAGGGAAGGGAGAGAGTATATAAGAGCTTGATGCTTATCTGTCGCGACGACGAGCACAAACGATGCTGCAGAAGATGAACTGATGTCAACGGTGTACGAGATGTTGCCTTACCGCTACGTTCAACGACCTGCGCTGTCGTTGCCGTGCCAGACCTGCTACTCCACTCCACCTTCCCTATGCGCCTGTCTCCATCCAAATCACTATAGCACCTAGCGCCCTTCGACCCAGCGACGACAAGTAGAGATCTAGGTCCATCTCCATCTCCCGGTTTCCCTTCTATCTCCATGCGCTCACGCTCCAAAGCAAGAGCAAGACGGTTCTTGTCCGCCTTGAGCTGTGATCCAAGTCGTGGGTCAAGGACAAACGTCCCATTGTGCAAAGGTGAAATCATCTCGGAAGACCTAGAAGCGGGTGCGATAGTCCAGATGCCGTCGCTGGTACGAATGATTGTGAAGACAGTCCCGCGTCCCGACGTATGGATCGCGATGAGACGGACTTTAGGGTCAGAATCTATTGAGCTTAGTCAGTGGAAACCTATGTTAGAGGCATGGCTACGTCAGCTGGCCTGAATGGAGACTGCATATCGTCCATGTCAACGAAGCGACAGTATCGCCGCTAGCTGCGCGCTTGTGCAAGACGCTCCCAAGACTATGTCTCCGGGATTTATTGTCCAATCCCTCCCTGTGTAGGACCCTTGGCCCCCTCAAGTCAATCATGAGCAAATTGCCTGAAGTATATCCAACAGCCGCAAATCCTATATTACGGTGTGAGATGGCTCCGACGACATGCGATCATCGCTGAAGTGACAGAACGCACCGATGGACGTGTGAGCGAAGGAGCTCACAGGCTCTACAGGCAGTACCATCAAAAACGGATAGAAGCGCAATCCGGTTGACACCGGCACATGTTCGAGCGAGACAAGTTCAAGATCGTCGAGAGCGCGCTCTTCACTTGTTAGGCGGCCTGCACTCAGTCGGTATAATATGACAGCACCAGTGCTGATGACTACAGAAACCTCCAAAGCTTCTGCGTGAAACTGGACATCTTGTATTGATGGCAACTGTCGCGGGTTGATGTTGTACCGATCACAGATGGATGGATGCGCCAACACAGAGAGCGGGTCGATCGAGAGTGACCATAACGCCGTTGGGAAAGGGGATACGAGCAGCTCTCCCGCCGGTGGGATCAATAGTTGAACTGAGATATCGAGGAAACGAATCGTCTGATCCGCATGCGTGGTGATGAGCAGGCGGTGTGGATCAAACTGTGACAAGTGTCAATTGAACAATGCGGCGCTGTGGTTGATACAAGTACAGTACCTTTGATAGTCTTATATGCCCGACTACGTCTTGGTCCGCGATGGCTACACCACCTTCGAACTTGAATACAGCAGGATCACTTTCCTGTGTCGCCGAGAGCGACTCGTGTGCGAAAAGATCAGTCGAGGTAAGCAACGCGCTCACGACGCCCGCGGGACCATTCCACAGCAAGACTTCCGTAGGCAATTTGGCCGGATGGCCGGAAACCTCAAGATCCCGGAGTGTGTTTGCCAAATCGTCATCGATACGCTCTCCGCTGTCCGGAGGGGTCGGTTTCGTTGAGAGAGCATCATGATCGCTAGACAAAAAAGATGGCGGCGGAAAAGTGAAAGCTTCGACGGTTCGAGAGCTATGTGGGCCTTCAGAAAGGTACAGTACTGCGACTGGATCCCAAGTCCCGGCGTAATGAGGGCTCTCACGAGGAACGAGTAGAAAGTCCTGTGCCAACCCTGAAGTTGCATAGAAATATGCATCGCGGACTTCTACGGCTGCGCGCATAGCCTGTCGGTAATGCGGATGAAGACCACGTTGCTCTCCGGGTAGGAGCGGTGCTGTATGCGGGTTGAAAGCAGGAAGCCATAGGACGTTGACTCCAGCTGGGTCCTGAGCATACTGTCCACCTAATATAACCAAAGACGTCTCGCCTCCCCTAGGGTCGGTAGAGTTGGGATATCCACTCCAAGCAAGTTTGAAGATCGGTTCTCGAGGGATGTGTGGCGCAGAGCTTCCCTCACCGCCAGGAAGATACCGGTCCAGAGCGTTACCATCCACAATATTCACCTCAACCTCATCAAGTGTCCGGACGAATAACGGTTTGTCGTCATCTTCGACGGCCCAGAAAGCGAGAGATCCGTCGACATGACCGATAACAAAAAAGTGGCCAGACGGATGAATCGCCATCGCAGTCACAGCAGGTCGACGGTGCTTGAGGAGGTCCTATGAACCTGCATAAATACTCCATCATACAGATGTCATTGCGATGCATACCGGGTCTGTGTACCCTGCGCCGCCTGGCGCACCCGCAGGAATAAGCAACTCGTATATCCGGAGTGTATTGCGTTCTTTCTGATTGAGACTTCAGCATACATGCTTTGTACGTCGATGGTATATTCACCAGGTCCACGAGGATCACACCACCTATTGCCACTGCCGTATCAGTCATTGTATCACGAGAGATGTGGGGACGACGGACCTCCATAAGCAATAAAGACCAAGTTGAGGTTTCGTGGATGTGACAATATCTGGCTGGGAATGCGTCTGCAAACCAGTCAGAAGGCTTGCCTCGTTGTACCATCGCCAAACTTACGATCCCCCATCGCTCTCAACAATCATGCCATCTGCTTGGAGGGTATTCTCATAGGAGTCCCATGCATTTGGTACAGTGTAAGCAGAAAATCTTCGGCATAGCAGGTCGTATGTCTTGATTTCTCCGGATTCGAGGCAGAGGAATGCCTGCGAGCAGGTTACATGCGACCTATAAGCTGGTAAGCCCCGTACTCACATGTGTTAGAGAGGGGGGAACTAAGACAGATCTACATTGATACGGTTAACTGATGGTCTAAATACTTGTTAGAGGGGCACAGACGTCACCGGTCTTTCGACCCGGATAATAGCCTCAACCTTGATCTGTCCGTAGGAGGAGATATCGTACATGATGAGTTTATCACTTTCGTCTGCGACAAACATAAGAGTATATAGATGATGACACAATCTGTTGGGGTCGTCTAACCGATGCATACTAGTTTGTAGAGACTGGAGGCAAACTCCAGGAACTTGACGGGGGTTGTAGCCGGAAGTTTGATCTCGGCGTGTATACCAGGTGCTCCGAGTATATGAATGTATCCGTTTGAAGTCCCTACAAAATCTGAGCATGCGCTTTTACCCGTGCATCGAACGTACCAATGGCGAGTAGGCGTGAAATGGGGTCCACGGCGAGCGCGGTGATATCCGAGCAGAACTGGAGAGCATCGAGGTTGCCTACATCCCAGTACTCCGACTCACGCAAATCACCCGAGAAGTCTACTTGTGCATGACCCTTGAACATGGGTATTCAGGAGAAGGTCCTATTCGTGCAACTAGTGGCACGGTGGAGATGATGGTAGAAGGCAACGCGCGCCACACGGACTGACCCCCGATTTGTCACCGACGCGCCAACGCCGCCGACGCGCCTTGGTCGCCGACCACCATCAGTCTTTACAATGACGAGCGCTTTGAACGGACCTTCGAGTTCTGCATTGACCGATATCATTGAACTTCAATTCCATCAAAATGTCTTCCAGGAGGAGAGCTTCATTAAGTCGGAACATCACATTAAGCTAAATAAAGGTATGTACGCTTATTGACTTTCATTGAGTGTCGTGCTCACAAAAATACCAGATGACCAGATTTGCCGACTGCACTTGACGCTCGCGGGATGTCCCCTCGGCTCATTACATTGTCCGCTTCGTCATACAGATACCTCCATAGAGAACTCTCAGCCTCCAAAGCTGATTTCGACTCATACCCGTGACTCGCAACGCTTGGCTCCTGTCTATAAGCATTGGCTGAGAGGTCCATGTAATAATGGAGACGCTTGTGAGCTCCTGCACGAGTAAAACCTGAGGATGGTCACATACGCTGATATTGGTGGATGACCCAAAGCCCGACCTTCCGCTGCCTTCGGAGTATAATCCTCCACCTCCACCCGCTCAGCGAGACCTCGGACCTCCACCTCGAGGCTTTGGCCGCTACGCTGACTTTGACCCCAACGGCGTGCGTTCCAGTGATGGACTGAACTATGGTGGCAGTGGCAGTGCCGGAAGAAGCGGGGCTGGCGAGTTCAGTGGATCTCGCCGGAATTTGGATGAAGTGCTTTGCTTCAAGGTGTGTTTAGCGCATTGAAGCAACTCTGATTTACACTGACTTGACTACCAGTGAGGAGAGAGAGGACATTGTGCAAACCATTGCAGTAATAGGAATGCTCCGGGTAACTATGGAGGAGTCGAGCGGGCTCCGAAGCGGCACGACGAGGAATAATGACACTCTCTTGTTTCGGTTGTATATGTATTTTGTTGCTCTCGTACGATGTTCGCCCCTGTTGAATTATGCACCACAGCGCGACAATGAGTTGGAGAGTATATTCATGTGTGGCTGAAGGCATACGAGGCATACGAGATATGTACGAAAGCGAAAGTGAAAGCTATGGACAACGGATGATTGCGACTGAGACACGAGACACGAGAAGGAATGATGCTATGACAGAAATATGCACTAAACCTGACCTAAAGCTGGAGTGGAAATTCAACGATGCTATGAGCCCTTTTCGAAGAAGGAGCGCATTGTGCTGACAGTCCGTGCAGCAGGTGCTCCATTCGTACTGCTCTTTAACCTATTGACCCACTTGCCCGGCTTATTCGACGCTGCCGCCGGCTCGGTCGTAGCGCGTACATGCGCAGCTGAACCCCGCGGGCTGTTCGTGACGTCCGAGATATGCATAGGCGCAACACGCCTGCGCTCTGGTGAATGTTGTGCGGTGTTGACGGTCACGGTCGGCCTGCTCGTAGTGTTGCGAACAGGAGTGAAGCCCGTCCGAACGCTCTTCCGCGCGCGAGGGGTAGACTCTCCGAAAGTCCCAAGCTCCCGAGGGTCCATCGTGCCTTCGCTCGTGAAGCCCTGCGCGGGCACTTGGTCGTCGATATCGTCTGCGCGTCGCTTGCCCAGGGTGGACGCGGTAGGCTGCTTATCCTCGCACGGCGATAGACGCTTCTGTGGCTCTGGGGTCTTTGCGCGTCGGAACACGGTCGGGAAACGACGTTCCGGAGTCTTCGGCCGAACGTTCGCGATCGAGCCATTGCCCGCGCTGAGGCGCGCGCGCGAACGGGGTGTGGGCGGGACTTCCACCGAGAGTGTATGAACAGGTGGCGCATATGAGGAGGAGGCGACGGGCGCAGGGGGGCTGACTCGAGTGGAAGAGCGGCTGCCGTCGAGCACGGGCGGGGTCCAGCTGGAGCCCGACGTATTGGTTGTGAACCCTTCACTTTGAATAGGCGCCGTGGTAGATGACGACGCCGATGCCAGGCTTGGGGCAGGCGCAACGGCTATGGGGTTCGATGCGGGAGGAGGAGCAGTGGCAGCGGCTTCCTTCGCAGCTGTGAACTTCTTCTGTAGCGAGTCGACCTTGCGTGTAAGTTTTGTGACCTTGTCAGCAAGTTTCTTGTTCTCCTTAATCAGGCTATCTCCTTATCAATAAGAGAAGCAGTCGTCACAAGAAATCAGGCATACCTCATAACACGATCGTCATTGCCCTCAATCTCCTCGTTCTTCTTAGACATAAGGACGTCCATATCGCGCAGCTGTTCCTGGAGTTCACGCACGAGGCCTCCTTCAGACGCGCGTGACTTGAGTTGAGCAATCTGCTTATGCAGTCCGTCGAGAATGCGTCTGTGCTCAGTGACCTCAAGATCCAGCTGTAATTGGGCGTTGGTGAGGAGACCTTGAGACCGCTCCAACTCTGACCGGAGTTGTGCGACTTCAGATCGCGTGTCTTCCAACTCGTGTCGACTGCGATGGCAAATCAGCACATGCATCACACACAAGTAAGAACGAACATACATTGTCTGAACCTGACCTTCGGCTTGTTGACGTGTGGAAGCATGACGCTCAATGTCGGCCTGAAGCGCGGCGTTCTGTTCCTCCAAAGCGACGCGTTGAGCGGAAACAGCTTTGAGACTCTCCCGCACCTCTGCAAGCGAGCCCTGAATGGTCTCTCTGTCATCCTGAAGCACAGCAAGACGTGCCTGTGCCTCATCGAATCGACGCGCTGAGCGCTCTTGCTCATCCCGGGAAACCTGCAGCTCCTCGACATGACGCTTGTCTTCATCATCGAGGCGGATCTGAAGAGCTTGGAGGTTGCTCTCGAGCCCAGAGACCTTCTCATTTGACGCCGCTAGCTCCTCGGCGTGAAGGGCATCCGCGCGGTCAAGCGCCTCCTCGGAAGTCTTGATGGCTGCCTCGAGCTCGATGATACGAGTCTCCAAACCGGCTTTCGCCTCGGATGCCTCTGCCGCCTGCTGGACATGGGACGAACGAAGAGCCTCCAGCTCCACGCGAGCCTCTTGAAGCTCCTTTGACGCGAGCGCGTTCTCCTGAGTCAACCGCTCGACCTCCATCGTATGCTTTGCCCTGAGCCCTTCAACGTCCTCAGACAATTGGCTGGACGCCTCTAGCTCCACGAGCAACTCGTGCACGCGCAGCTCGAGTGCAGTCCTCTTGGCAGTGAGCTCATCCGCTAGAACCTCACGGGCCTTGGCCTCGACCTCGCGCTCGTTCTGCGCACCCTCAAGGTTCGCCGTGACGTTCTCTAGGCGTGCGAGAGCCTGTTCGAGTTCTGTCGAGTGCTTTCGGCGCAACTCCTCAATCTCCGACTCGAGGGTATGCGTAGTAAGGATCTGGGCAGCTTCGCGCTTCTTGCTTTGGCGCAAGGTTTCTTCCACTGACGCGAGTTCCTGCCGCGCAACCTGTTCCCGACTTTGCATCTCACGAACCGACTCCTCAAGTGCCACTATCCTGGACCGGAAAGTCTGGACCTGAGCAGCATGCGATTCAGATGTCGAGCTTAGCGACAACTTCTCGCCGCGGAGATCCTCCAAGCGCGCGTGAAGCGCAGCGACCTCGGCTACACGCGTATCGAGTTCCTCGCGCACGAAGGTAAGTTGAGCGTCCAAGTCGGCGCGCGCGTCACGCTCGGTTGTCAAGAGTTGTTCAACTTGGCGAAGGCTGGACTGCGAAACGCCGAGTGCGATAGCTGTCTGTTCTGCCTCGCCGCGCGCCGTCCGGGCATCTTCTATAGCGGCCTCGAGCTGGGATGCGCGAGCGTCGGAGACGGATGCCGTGAGACTGCGTTGTTCCTCTGCAACTTGCAACTGCTGGAGAGCGTCGGCATGTTGTGCGTGGATACGGCGTATGGCAGACGAGAAGCGAGTCGCAGATTCCCTCCGTCCAGCGATCGCCGAAACCCAGACTCCTATGAGACTCGCCGACTCCACGACATGCTGATCCCGTATTCTCTGCATTGCGACCTCATTTGCCTCCAACTCCTCCTCGAGCTTTTCAACGCGCTGAAGTGCTGCATCCCGCGCCTCCCTCGCCTCGGCGCAATCCTCAATCATACTCTCTTTCTCTGTCATCGCCACATCCAACTCATCATTGAGCTCCGTGAGCCGGTCCTCCTGTAGTCGTTGCGTCGCCTCGAGCCGCTGAATCTCGTGCTGGTGCTTGCCGATCTGCTCGTTCCGGCGCTCAACACGATCTTTGTACTCCTCAAGCTGCTTGCGCAGGGCGGAGGCGACGCCATCTGAAGGGAGCAAGGAGAGCTGCTGCGCTTGTAAAGCGGTGTAGCGCTCGTCGCTACGTTTGATGTCCTCTCTCGCCTGATCGAGGTCATGTCGTAGAGTCATGACTTGCGTGGAGAGCGTGTCGCGCTCAGATTCCACATTCTCAAGCGCACGAGTAAATTCGACCAACTCGCGCTTCTTCTCCTCCAAGTCAATGTGCATCTGCGACTGCTCGGAGCGAGCGCTACGACTGAGTTGATGGAGATCCTTGACTTGAGACTGAAGTTGGTCGACCGTAGCCTCCAGTTGATCGCGTCGGATGTTAGACTCTGCGAGCTCGCTATTGCAGGCGTCAAGATGCTCTTGAAGCTCCTCCACGGTTCGTTGGAGCTCTGCGATCTGCTGGTCGCGTGTCGCATTCGTGCTGGTGAGAAGTTCGTCGTGTGCTGATTGACGGTGGTCCAATTCATCCCGTGTGTGGGCGAGGTCCTCGATTGCGTGGTCTCTCAAACACCCTAACCGGGCTGCAACCACCAGAGAAGCGGTTGAGACGAGTCCCAAACGGTGAAGAAGCGCGTTGTCTGCGGGAGTCCGGACATCTGTACGGCTCTCGAGTTCAGAGACCCGGGCGCGGAGACAAGTCACTTCTGCCAGCTGTGCAGAAGATGAATGGACCTTGGCCTCGAGACTCTGGATGGTGAACCGGGATTCAACTTGGAGGAAGTCGAGGTCTCGTTTGAGACCATCGCGTTCGCCACGAATGCGCGTTACTGAGTTGAGAAGCTTCTCGACGTACGCGTCCTTCTCAGAAGAAGCGCAGTTGTTGTCTGTTGAAGGAATCAGTACGATGTTGAAACCGATAACAACTTTACAAACGATTACCTTTCAATGCGTCGTTCTCTGAAGAAAGCTGTTGCAGACGAGCGTTGTACTCCCTCTCGCGAGTTTCAAAAGACGAAATATCCGCTTCCCGAAAGCGTAGCGTCTCCGCGATACGCTCTGCCCGTCCCCTGGCCTCTTCCAGCAATCGCAGGCCGTCATCCCTCTCCTGCACAAGTGCGGACTGGCGGTCCTCCATCCCCCGCGCCCTCGCCAGCTCCGCCTTGAGCTTCTTCTGCGTCTTGGCCAGCTCGTCCTCTAGACGTGACATGTCGCGACTGCCGGCGAGCAACTTCTCCATCTGCGCCACCTTTGCCTCCTCCATCTCGATGCGTTCCATCAACTCTGCCTCGCGTTCGACGCCAGCGCCCTGCTGTGCCCGCAAGAATTCGAGCTCCTCCGTCTGCTCCGCTGCACGATCCCTGGCCTCCTGTACCTCTGCCCTCAACTTCCTCTCCATCGCCACCGCGTCGTTCTCGATGCGCACAACATCGGACCGGGCCTGGGAAGCGCGTTTCTCAGCCTGGGCCGCGGCGGCCTCGCTTCGAGCGGCGGCGGCACGTGTCTCTGCGAGTTCGCGTTCAAGAGACGCTAAATGAATTCCGGACAACGACGAGGCGCGGCCGCGGCGCTTGGGTGCAGTGGCAGACGCCAGCTGCTGCAGGTTCGCTTCCAGATCGCGGATGCGCAGGTCCTGGGCCGCCTTGTCGCGTGCAGCGTCGTCGAGGGCGCGCTTGGCGGCGGCCTCACGTGCGGCAACGGCCTCGAGCGTCGCCTGGAGCTCTTTGCGGGTGCTGGCGTCGGACTGGAGTTGCTGGCCAGAGGACTGGTTCGAGAGTTCCAGGTTCTGGCGCATCATCCGCTCCCGTGCCAGCTCCTCCCTCCGCTTCTCCAGCTCTTTCCGCAGCTCGACAGCACTGTCAGCTTCCCTTCGTAACTGGCTTATACGTCAGACCCAGTTCACACTCAGGCCGCCCACCACACACCTTGTCGATCGTCTCATCCAGTGTATTCTGCGTTTCCCTCTGCTTGCGACCGCATTTCAAGAGCTGATCCTCTAATCCGGCGCACTTATTGTCTATGTCAAGTGTTAGACATAGTCAAGCATACAGGACGATAGGGTGCGTACCCTGGTTGGCGATGTGTTTCTTCAGCGCAACGATCTCCTCAGAGTCGTGCTCGTAGTCGATGGCGAAGCCGCCCATGACGCCCGATGGTTGAATATGCTACAGTGTAAGGTATGAATGCTACAGAAGCCAGTCGCCGCTGTGGGACGAGGGTGATGGGGTGGGCCAGGACGCGGCGGTGGTGGGAACGAATAAGGTCAAAGTCACCTTGCCGCGCTTCGAGTGGTTGAACTGTTTGATGGGCCAGCACGTGCCGGCTGGTTCGGGCTGGGACTCTTATTGTGACCGGTATGACGTGTGTCTAACGTTCGCGTCCATATTTCATCGACACCCCGATTTACTCAACTATGTAGTACGTTCACACGGCGCAATACAGTGGCCAGAGGGAAAGATGGGCAGATATTCGCTTGTCCATGATCGGCAGCTGAATGCCTATGTACATGAAGCGTGCGGCGTAGCTACATCTATCTCATTGTCCGTTACATCGAGACCTCGCTACTCAAAGGTGTAGTACTCCTCCCCCTCTCCAGTAACCTCCCTTGTGGCACTGGACTCGATCTCCTTGACGATCCTGGCGTCCCTCCCCTCCCCCGATGCGATCCAGACGGTACTCTTGACGGCGTCGGCTTCTCGGCAGGACTGATAGGCGGTGGCGGCGGAGGCGGTCGGTTCCACGGCATCTTCAACGATAACCAGCCCGTCCATGTCCGCGCGGCGGCGGCCCTCTCACGTTCATCGCGCTTGCGCTCGAACAACGCGCGGTAACGCTCGTACGATTCGCGGAAATTGCGGTCAACGCGAGATGAAAATATCAGCTCGCCTCGCGGGTTGGTCGTTGGCGGTATTGAGGTGATCGGTGCAGCAGACGGCGAGCGTTTACCGAGCCTTGTGGGTGAGGGCGTGCGCGGTGGGGATGGTGATGGGGGCGCCGGCGGGGACGTTGGGCGGGGGATGATGTAGGTCAATGGGTTGAGAGAAGACCCGCGCGGGGCTTTGCGCATGTTGAGGTACATGTTGAAACTTCTGAGCGCTTTATTCGCATGCGGGACATATCTGAAGGGTGCGTGAGTGCTTTAGGCAATGGTATACTATGAAACCCGCGTACTTATTGGCGTATGCAATCTTGTCCGAGTACACACCACCCGCGAAGAATAGCACCAGCGTAGTTGCGGCCACCAAAAGCAACCCTTGTGCGACCCACTCATGCATGTATATATGTGCATCCCACGGATACCCCAGCAGCACACGATAGGGTATTGATAAGAATGAAGTATTCAAGAATACTTCACACAATAGAAAGACGATGGAGACAATGAGCTGCGTAAGGAACCCTGTGCAGGACACGGTTGAGCACCGAGAAATGACATACATGTGAAGAGCGATGGTCTGATGCATACATATATACCGTGATCGACGTTTGTTCAGCTGTAGCGCGTTGGACTTCAACCGCTCCTCGAAGAGCAGCAAGTCGCGGTGCGTGGCTTGATCGTTGGGAGGGTGAAACGGTTTGGGTTGGTATGAGCCTTGGCCTCTAGCCATCTAGATGAGTGTTCGTAGTCAAGCCGTGACAGGGGTGTGCCAGATCAGACAGACCCAGGCTGCTGCTGGTGGAGAGATCGTAAAGTGCATAAACGTGCGCCACGCGCGGTGCGCGCGAGGGGCCGCCGAGCGCGCGCCGACTCTGCGGCATGAGCGGCCCGAACAAAGGCTTCGTATTGACGGCCATCTCACCAACCATCGTGCTGTACCAGTGATGCGCATTTAGACATACCATGATATAGATGGACGCATTCTATGGAGATTGTATGCGATGCCATGTAATTGTAATCTGAATACAACGTACAGGGTAGTAAACGCTCTACTGGTTGGCGCAACCTCCAGGCTCGTCGTCGTCAAACTCGTCATAATACTCTTGCGGCTCCTCCTCAGCCATCTCCTTCCTGTCACGCTGACCCTTTGTCTCCTTCTCAGTATCGTCCGATAACTGGAAACCAGCTGCCTTTCTCGCACTCCGTGCGACCCAGTCAGTCCGAGGTCCTACCCATTCAGTCATCCTCGGCCACGCCCTCCAAGTACCACTCAATGGCGACTGGTCCACTCCCACGGCTGCCATTAGATCTAATCGTCATAGGAGACTCGTCGTCTTCTTCGCCCGTGCAAGCAATATTGTACCCAATGCCCACGCCAACGAGCACAAGCCTAACGCCCTGTTCGACCTCGCGTTAGGCGTCTGCGTTAGGCAGTGCGCTAGGATGTGAACTCTGTTAGGCCACCGGCGAACTTTCGGCAACCGAGACNGCCCTGTTCGACCTCGCGTTAGGCGTCTGCGTTAGGCAGTGCGCTAGGATGTGAACTCTGTTAGGCCACCGGCGAACTTTCGGCAACCGAGACCCGGACTTCCACCGTCACACACCGTGACCCTGGCCGCGCCTCCTCCCGCCCCGTCCCCGACAGGGCGCCTTTGAGCTCGACGCGGACGGCGATGACCTTGCGCTCGTTACCAATCTAATACCCTTGTTGTTGGGTGGATGAATCGTGTGCTGCCGATCCTACTTAGAGGAGAAAGTTACAGAGGCAGAGCCATAGATTTGAACCAAGCACTGCGCCTCGTCAGTATCTGCGTCGAGCTCAATGTTGTGCAGGACAGCACGCACGGCATCGGAGCGTCATGGAGATTGTGTCGGATGACATCGAAGATCCGGAAGATCTATGGGCGTTACCCGGGCGTTACGCCCGCATATGGTAGGCTGTCCCACGAAAATGCCTAACGAACTTCCCATCCTAAAGTGCTGCCTAACGCAGGTGCCTAACGCGAGGTCGAACAGGGCCTTAGAGTTCGCCTCGTGTCGAATGCGCGCGTGGCGTAGTAATACGTCAAATGGCAGGCGCCTATCCTGAGATCGCCGTCCATTTTCCAATTTCGACGTTGCGCTTCCACCACCATGGCCCCCCACCGTCATACCATACTGCATGAGCCCTATGATTCTCGCTGCTCGCGTCGAGCGATGGGTGGCGCCAGGATGCTGCTCGGGCGTGACGTCGACGTCTCGGAAGCGAAAACCCACGTGTGCGCGTCTGTTTTTGTTGAATCGTTTGGCGTGACCGCGTACGAGCGCGGGCGCGTGAGTTCGAGACTAGCGCGTTCTTGTCCCTCCTCCCGAGGTTCAAGCCATACGTGGTCGTGGTTCACAATGCGATACACTTCATCTTGATGACTTTCGTCTGAGCTACTTCTTGTACCCCCACCCCTTCAGCGTCACCTGTGCCATAAACTTCTCCTATACTCTTCGGCTCGATGTCGACCGCGAAACCTACGACCTCCAAGACCTCAAATGGTGTCCCCTTCTCTCAGTAAGCGCCCTCATAGCTCCTCCCGACACTGCAGATGAGCTGATGATGTCCCCCAGCTTCGTATCCCTCATCCGAGCCATCTCCGAGATCACACCCGTCCGCGTCGGAGACAAGAAACGGCAATCCCTCGTAGACGGCACCCAAACCCCCCGCGCCCGCAAAGTCTTTGGAACCTGGCTCAAAGAGATCCGCGCGAAGTACTCGCCCCTGCCGCCCGGCACCACCGCAGCAATCCTGCGCCTCCTGTTTCCTGAGGTCGATGTGGATAGAAAGTACAGCATGCAGGAGAAAAGGCTGGGCGAGCAACTTGCGCAAGCGTTGGGCATCTCAACGCAGAAGGGGCATTGTGGAAGCGTGTTGAGGAGCTGGAATGAGTGGGATACGAGGGGGTGTCTGGGCCATGTGGTGCAGGGTCTGTTCGAGAGCCGCGCCAACGAGGTAAGCCCGTGCTACACTCGGTAGCGATGCGAATTCAATGTCGCCCAGAACCCTGAAGAGCACGTCAGCTCCCTCAGCGTGATCGACGTAGACCGTTTACTCAGCGATCTCGCAAGATACTCCCCTTGGTCCTCGAACGACGTACGCCACTCTCGCAACAGCAACGAGCCCGCGAAGAGTAAGATCCGCGACGTCCTGTCACGCCTATACTCGGACCTTCCTCCATTCGACGCTGCGGTACTCACACAGATCATCCTGAAGGACCTCCGTCCCATCCTGTACCCGCTCCCCGCCACAGGCACCACGGCGTCATTGCTCAGCTACAACACCAATGCTGTATACATGCTCTCGCTGCAGGATGCGCTCCGGGACTGGACACCCCATAATAAGGAATGGTGCTGGGCATGGTGGCAGTACCACATTCTGTCGGACCTTACGGCGATCGGCCAGTTCATCGAGCAGAATGCAGTCGGCACCACCGCGATGCCCCGCGTCGGCACGCGCGTTCTCGTACGAGTCATCACTTACACCACCTCGCATACCCCTAACACCGCTTGCCACAGATACCGAAATGCGCTAAGGGTCGCGGATGCAAGAGCTCGCTCGGCATGTTCAAGACGGCGTCGGTCGTTTGGGCGGAAACGAAGTACGATGGCGAGCGCGCGCAGATCCATGTGTGGGTCGACGACAAGGGCAAATTGCGCATCAAGATCTTTAGCAAGCAAGGCAGGGACTCCTCGCTTGACCGTCATGCTGTTCACGCGTGAGTCAAGTCGTGTGTGTATCGTTCTTCATGTAGCTCACGCAGTTTGATAGGACTATCCGTGAGGCGCTCGGGTATTGTCCGAACACCAAGCTGCCTCTCAAACCGAAGGTCAAGAAGGAAGCTATTCTCGAAGCTGAGATGGTTGCTTTCAACGACCAGCAAGGCCGCATAGATGGTACATAGTCCCATCTACTTATCTGGCCTGCACTGACGTCCGAGCAGAGTTCTGGCATATACGCAGCCTCGTTGAGAACACGGCATATGGTATCCGGCACAAGCCGCGCAAGACGCTCGAAGCCCGAGCTGCAGAGACAGGGTGAGTCCCCCGTTCAATGACTGTACGGAGGACCTATGCTGATTGCGGTGATTAGCCCCGTGAACACCTCCATGGATTCGAACGCGCCCGACGACGGCCGGCGGCACCTGGCCCTCGTCTTCTTCGACATCCTACTCCTAGACTCCGAACCTCTACACCACCATCCATACCACATCCGCCGCGCGCACCTGGAACAGACCATCAACGTCAAACACGGGTGGTCCATGCTCGCCGCTCGTCAACGCATCCAGATCCGCGGCCCCGACGGCATCCCACGCATAAGCGAAGCTCGTGCCCAGTTACGACGCATCTTCGCTGAGCATGTGGCCGATTACGAGGAAGGTGTCGTTTTGAAGGACGAGAAGAGCCAGTATCGCGAGACAAAGAGGCCGTGGGTGAAGTTGAAGAAGGATTACATCCCTGGTTACGGCGACTGTTTGGATATGGTGATCGTCGGCGCTGGATGGAACAAAGAGCGCGGTCGGGAGTTGAGGGGTGAGTGGCACGCTTTGATGGTTGTCTTCGGCGTACTCATGGATACAGTTGCACCCTCAACATTCACCACGTTCTACCTAGGCGCCCTGACCAACGCAGATGAACTCGCACATAATGTCAGTGGAATCTCAAGTTGGCGACCAACCGCTGACCCCCCATGCAGCCTCGAGCGCGACCAAGCTTCGCTGTCTACTTCACCGTGTCGTATGGTCCGGCGCGATCAGCGCTGGAAGACATCAACGTCACACTGCAACAGGCAGATCACGTCAAATATACCGAAGCGCAGAAGCGCCCGGCTGTACTTCCCTACTCGTTCACCCTCGCGACTGGCCTTGACTCGCCTGACGTTATGCTGACCACGCCTCGCCTCGCTGAGATCTTCGGCGCGGGCTTTTCAAAGGCTCCGGGGAGTAAGGTGAGAGTTTCCCCTCCTCTCCATGCCTATCAGCACGTTTCTGACATATGACAGGTTTACGAACTACGTTGGCCGCGCCTCACAAAGATGTACCGCGAAGCAGAACGTGACTGGCGTGAGGGCATGCCTTTGTCAGAGATCCAACGTATCGCACACGAGGTTGTAGGTCGCCCGTCCGACGAAGACAACTACCGTTTTCTTTGGGAGCATGAGTTCAAGCGTCCCAGCGAACAATCTAGTGATGTACCTCTCGAAGTAGCAGGTCTGCGTACGCCCGCGAAACGCGCGCGTATAATGAAAGAGTGTTTGACTCGCTTGGAAAAAGACGACGGCGTCTTTGTCCCTCAAGACCAATACCAACACCAAGATCAAACTCAAACTCAACATCAAGCCACCGCGCATCCTTCTTCCCTTCAAGACTGCGGGATCGTCTGTGCTTCATCCAAAAGCGGTGAAAGGAGTGAAGCGGCTACGCCTTTGCCCCTTCTGCACAGACTCGTTTCGAGTACAAACGTCTCTAGGGTGCCCGATTCGCCACCCCGTGCCCACGCACCGCCTCCGACGCCACCCTCGGTACCGCGTAAACGGCGGGCAGTACAAAAGGACGACGAGAACGCCGACATCAAGGATCATACCCCGGCTTCCCCGCGGCGATTCGAGCCTCTTTCGCCATCATATCGTCCGAAGGTGCGTGCTTCTACTCATACATGCGTTCCTCCCTCATCATTGCTGTCTTCAGAGGCGCAAGCTTAACCCGCCTGTACCGGTCAAGGTAGAGGTCGACGAACCCGGCCTATTCTTCCCGCCCCTATCGAGCCCTCCGGCGACAGAGCCGCAGCCAGAAGTGAAGACATCGCAGGACCACTCACATCGTTTACTCCTATCTCGACCGCTTTGTCCTGTGCGTTTTCCCGCCATGCCGAAGTGACTTGGATACTGACGAATGCGCACCAGGAGCCGACTGTTATCATGTCAAAGGACGAAGCTACTCCACGCACCCCCGGTTCATCATCCACTTCACGCACAATCTCGTATGGACGCAGAGCACAGTCAGCGATCTATCTCGAGAAACTTCGCGCCGCGAAGGCCGGACTGCCACAAACGTTGGGATCTACACGCGCAGTGACAACTGCATCGTCCTCGACGCTCGCTCCGCCTCCCCCTACAACATCTCTACCGACTCTTCCGGACTCCTCTCCTCCCCCTTCCCGGCCAATCTCGCAACAATACCCACTATACCCGCAATCTCTTCCCGCGCCACCTCCGCTTGATGACCCCTCACCTGCTCTCTTGGCAGCCCGCACACAACTTTCGAAGTACTGGATCTATCTAGGTCTGCCACCCGATGCAGAAAGACCTCCATGGATACGAGACATTTCAGATCTATACTCGGACGCCCAACGCGTGAATTCATGGCAAAGTGTACTTCACGTATGTGGCTGGACCGCCCAGAAACCTCCAACGCTGGCCCCTTCATCGGCTGGCAAACGCGGGGGCATCATCATACTCGATCTTGAAGATCGCGACCCCGACTGGTCCGCCATCGCCGCACAAGTCATGGACGCGGTTCAAGCATGCTACAATCATGGTCACGCGCGTTTCGACGTCCGTGTGCTGGACATTGGGGTGCTTGGGAATGGGGCGGTTGAATCCACTGGGGGCGACATGAGCTCTTGGATTCGTCATCTACTGACTGCGTAATGATCATAAAGCACACTTTACGGCTTGAATCGATACTGCACACGTTGTTACCTCTTGTATTCTTAGTGATGTCCGCCCTGTATATACTCATGTGACCGCGTTCCCAGATGCGGTCGTCAGGGTTTGAATGAACTTCAACGTTTTCCACCACCATCGTTTCAGACAGAAGAGTTGACGCACATCCTCCCCGCCTATCGGGCACACACGATCGGAAGTACGATGCGCATAGATCAATGATTGCTTTACGAGGCTGATCCGGGTCGCTATTTAGATGACAGACAACGCTGTCCCGGCGTCTTCCGAGCCAGGGTCAGAATTCTCAGATGTCTTGCTTGTCCAGACGAAACTCGAGCAGTATGGGTTCACAGCGTTGCCTCGCAAACCCTGTTGGATCAACCTTCTGATGCCTCCCGAGCTCATCATGGAGATCCTGGCCTATCTACCTTTGGGAGATAGCTTCTCGATGACGAGAGTACATACGAACCCCTCCAACATCCCAGTGCATCACTCGGACTGCGCAAGGACGGACGAGCACGAAGCGGATTACTACGACATCCGTATTTCTGTAGTTCAGGAAGAAGGCGACTATGGCAACTGCATTGCCGGGGCGCTCTTCCCGAACGGGTGTTACCAGTACTGTTCATCCGGGTATTGGAACTACCTGGACGTCCTACGGGTGTGCCGGTTCTGGCATTCGAGCGCCGAGTCTAGTCCCAGCTTCTGGACACATATTCCTTCGCAATCGTTGAACACGGTTCACCGGTCCTTGAAGCTTTCAGGAGCCTTGCCACTCTTTATCGTTGCCGACGACGACCGTCACTGGCCTTCCTCATTGGCATTCACCACTGCACTCAACAGCCTACCGCGCATCTGTGTGCTGGACATCACGTATGTCATGAAGCTCAGGAAACCAGGCGCCAGAAGGAAGAAAGCTCGATGGGACATGCATAACGTACTCGACGCGTTCACGAAGCTTGGCGCCCCCGCTCTTCAAGCCCTGTCACTTCTACATTGGAACGCAGAAACCCTCACGACTGAACAATGGGTCGAGAAACATTTCCCATCCTTAGAGGTTGTGAACATCAGTAGCCTGCGGATAGCTCATCCGTGCAAGCTACTTGTCCCGACTCTCACTGAGCTCAGGTTGACTGATTGCGTGGGTCCCTGGGACAATGTTGATCAGCTCCTGCGTAGTCTGGCTCGTATGCAACATCTGCGAGTACTGGATCTGCAAGGAACAGTCCTCCCCGCCGATTTGGATCTGGACGACTGCCCTTTACCAGCCGATTTAGCGACCCCCGTCTCCTTCATCTCTCTGCGTTATCTAGGTCTCGAAGGGTCGTTTCGCTGCGTGAACAGGCTTCTTTCAATGCTTTCCGTACCGCCCGGAAAGACGTCCTTATACATCTCGTTCGTGAGCGGTTGGCGGCCGGAAGACCATGGCGATCGAACAAGGACCTCCGACTTCATCTCATCTTTCCCTGCCACCATGCCGCGCGGCGCGTACTTTACCTCGATCGATCTGGATCTCGACTTCAGTTCTCGCATCATAGAGCTCAACCTCAGCGAACTACACAACCCAGCTACAGATCCTTGTGCGGAGGATATTCAGTTGAGGCTCGAATGGCATGGCGACGAAGACGTGTTCTGTGGGCAGATGATGAGGTTTCTGCGCGCGATGGTGGATACGTCGATCGCGGCCAGCCGCCAAACCTGTGTTTTGTACAACCACTCAGGCTCTTACCGGGGAAACGATGGTCCAGGATTGGGTCCCGATAAATATCTGTCGAGCCTCGCAAGACTGACGGACGTTACCGTCGTACGATTGTCGAGCGAGAAAGCGGCAAGCCTCTTCTTTCATTGGATGACGAAAAGACGTCGACGAGGACAGGGCGCACTTCCTTTTCCAGCGCCGGAAAGAGTGTCACTCTACAACGCCGACCTGCGAAGTGAAACCTTCTATCGCAGGACAGCGGCACGGCCAGAACATGGCATCTTGTATGCTCAACTATGGCATTACCTCCATCACTTCAGGACCCAATCCTTGTCCCTATCGACCGTAACCGCGTCGCCACGTATGCTTGCTGAACTCAAACGTCTGGTACCTTCGCTGGACATATACAGCTCCGTTCGAAGAGCCCAGGAGCGCGAGCGGTGCGAAGTGCGTCAAACAGTACACACGCAAGAGCTGCTCTATATATATGGTGCAAAGAAGGGTGACGGGTCACGACAATTGTCACGTATTGTGTCCGCGCCGAGAACGAGGATGTTCTGGGAGTGGGAAGATACAGTCGTCGCGCCAACGATATGAGGCACCCCTTCTAAGAAATCTGCTTGATTCATTCCGCTAGTTCTTCAATACGTAGTAAAATCTTCACTCCATGAGTACCCTGTGCAATCCTTTCCATCAAGTCTTGTACTTGCTTCGTGGCACTCGCGTCGCTTTCGCCAGCCCCAATAGTCACAATCTCGTGCTTCGGTTCCCTCAACTACAGTACCGCGTCAGCCAATTGTACACAAGTCACCATAATCAATACACACACCTTGCCGTTGCTCATGTAACCAACCAACTCCTCCATGAGCACCGACCGCTCCGCGAGCGTGTGAGTCTTGTACCAACGGCTTTGCCAGAATCCGTGTGCGGCGAGGTTCTTGAAGATGAAGTACGACGTCGGAATGCTGAGGGGCTCTTTGCTCATAGCACCGTAGGATACCAGGTGCGCATCGGGCCCGAGAAGTTTCAGCATGTCTCGAGTCGGTTTGCCGCCCACGCAGTTCAACGCGAGGCGTATATCCTGCGAGCTGTCGTCAGATCTGTGCACATCAGATGCAATACAATGTCTCACCTTGCCACCAGGCATGTTCTTGAGCTGGGCGATCTTCTCCTTGTCCTTGAGATCGTCATATGTCCAAACGAGGTCGGCTCCGAGCGCCTCAAGTTCGCGTTTGGTCTGTTCGATGCCGTCGCGGTTTCGGACGAGATTCATGGTCTTCAGACCGCGCGCTTTAGCTAGTTGAATGACCGCTTGCCCAACCTAGTTTGCAAGGTTAGCCATGGCCCATAGTGAACTCCAGAGTATCACATACAGCGCTGTTGGCCCCGTTCTGTACGACCCAATCGCCTGTTTTCAACTCGGCAAAATCGCGCATCATGTTTAGAGCGGTTGGAGGATTGACCTATGGGTCACGTTAACTCAAGATACGAACAACCAAACGTGGTGCACGTACTGTAATAGTGGCGGCATGTACTTCGGTTAAGCCATCCCGTCTAGGTATTCTGATGACATCCTTCACATCGACATTACGCGTCGAAGCCCAAGTTCCGCTCTGTTGACGAGCAATGACAACCCAGTCTCCGACTTTGACGGCCGTCTCTCCCTCGCTAACTTCCTTGACTTCAGCCAGCGCCTCATTCCCAGCGATATACAGCTCCTCGTCCTCCCGCACACCGGGCAGATCCGCGCGCGGCACGGATACCGGATAGACGCCCTCGAGAACATTCACGTCGCTCGGATTGACGGGTGCAAGAACTATCCGGACATTCGCTGTACCCGGTGCAGGCGTCGGAAGACGAGGGAAAGTACGGGCCGAAAGCACTTCATGCGGTGCGCCCTTGGCTGAGTATACAAGCGCCCGTGTTGCTCTTGTCGCCAAACTGGTTGAGAAGGCACGGCGTGCCAGATAGCAAGCGTTAGAGCGTAGATGTAGTCTGTGCATGATCAACTGGTAGTTGCCAAAAGAGACGCATGCGCGCGACCCGTGAGGAGGTCATGGTTGAGCTCAAGGCGCAAGAACTACTTATGACGACACGCATGTTGCGCGCCGCGTCTCTCGGCTTCGCGTTTTCACTCAGACCATCACCATGGAAGATGCTGAGAGAATAGACCGTGCAGAGGTACGCCTCAACTCTGCGAGGGCTCTCATTATGATGACTAAAGAGTCGACTTAGATGATGCCGAAGGAATTGCGCAAGCCGGCGCACTCATTCCAAGCGACCCTTGTACAATTTCCTGGCTTTGCGTCCCTTTCGAAACCTCGGCCCTGCTATATCAATGCCATTCCGTCAGAGCTTCTCATGGAAGTACTGGTATACCTACCCTCAGTGATGGATGCGTATACCCGTGTACATATCGATCCGTTGATGCTACCCTCGGATGACGAAGGATCCGGTGATGAAGTCGATGAAGACGATTCGGACGATGATAGCGACGAAGACTTTACGCACGACACAATCTGTGAAGCAGAAGCACAAGAGGGCTACGGCGATTGCCTAGCCGAGAGACATCATCGCCGCGGATGTCTTCTGTTCTGCTCTCAGAGAAGATGGAACTATCTTAATGTCCTTCGTGTCTGCAAAACGTGGCAAGCGATTGCTCTGAGCTGCCCTGCTTTTTGGACAACGATCGCGAAGCACAATGCACACACAGTCGAGCTGTCATTGCGCCTATCGGGGAACCTTCCTCTGTACCTGAACGCAGACACCACGCCGTGGCCGTCTGTAAACTCCCTCTTACGCTCACTGAATCACCTCCCTCGGATCCGGACCCTGAGCCTATCATCCGGGTCTCGTGATGCACATGTCGTACATGCAATCCCATATCTCAATGATTACTTTATGTCATACAGCGCAGCCTTGCTCGAGGAACTGCGTCTCGACTTCTCGAATCGGGGCATGCCGTCTTGGCTCACAACGACGAACTGGGTTCAAAGGACCTTCCCTGTCCTGAAGGTGCTGGACTTGAACTACATTTCCCTTTCTGGAACGTGCACTCTTCTATCACATTCCCTCACCGAGCTCTCCCTCACTCGATGCGTTGCCCCGTGGGAGACTACGGCCGAACTCTTGGACGTTTTGCACTCTCTACCTCTACTCGTCCACCTCACGATCGCCGAAATGGATCACCCACCGGATCTTGGCGCCGACGATCCACCTTCCCTCGCAAACATCGTATTGCCTGTCCGCATGAGGCATCTACGATCTCTCGGTCTTCAAGGACCCACCTTGTGCATCAGTCGCTTGTTAACTATGACTGAAACTCCTCTGACTATGGATCTGGACCTCAAATACGAGCACCGTGCGATTCCGCCCGCCGCGGCCGTTGAGATCGGCCATACTTACGCAGTATTTGATCTCATCGGCAACGCCATGCCCGACGACGCGTACTTCAAGGATATAACTCTTTTCATCAATCTCGCCGAGCGTTCTATTGAGTTTTCGTTCGGGTGCTTGAAGAATCCGTCGAACCGACCGTGCACTGAAGAGATGACACATCTACATACATGGTCAATGGTAGAAGACACGATCTTCCCTAGCACTTGGGCTTTCACCCAGCGAATCGCCGCACCGTTTCTCCCTCGTATCACGCACGTCGAGGAAATATCGATGGGCATCATCTTACACCGATACACGACAGGAGCGGCAATCAGTCTTTCACTTCCCCCGAAATGTTTCAGTTCCGTATTGGACGTCACTGGGCTCACATATCTGCTACTTGAGTTCGACGCCGCGATGGAGTTTCTCCCATGGATAGTTCGCCTGATGTACGATGTGACCGCGACGGACGGTTTTCATTCAAGCGCAGAACTCAAATCTACGCCATCACCCCTCCCAAATCTCAGCAAACTGAAATTGGCGGACTGCAACATGGCATGCCTGATGCCCCTCAACAACTTGTACCTATCTGCACCCTCCGATACACTGTTCTCGTATCTTTGGCTCTTCCTACACGCGAAGAAACCAATCACGCACCTCATGAACGTCAAGATCTCGAACGCGATGATGGCGGAGGTCCATCGGTTGCTCGGAGCACGATTGGAGCTCGACTATTGCGACTTGTGGGAGCCCGAAGAGCTCACGCAGGTCGCTGTACGACTGGCGGCAGACTGCTCGGAGGAGTTGATCGTTACTGCTAATGAATGGGGTTGGGGACAGCACACGAAGAGCATCGTCGTTCCTGGCTCGGACATTAGAGATCCCATGCCTTCGTCTTAGGTTCTCGTATACACATTGTACCAGTAGAGATACGCACGTAGGAGTACCTGAACTACGAGAACTGCGGGCTGTTATACCAAACTACCCGGCCCGCGATGATCCGTGATTGCATCAGTAAACATATAACGCCATGACGCGAGGCAACTCAGAGATCGGGAAGTTGGTTGCAAACCATCATTGCGTAGTGTCAGTGCTTCATGCGTAGACCACTCTCAAAGCACTACTTCTCCAAATGCGACGAAAGAGTCGAGTTTGGCATCGCCAGGCTTGCGCGGAAGGTGCGTCTGCTAGATGGACACCGTTCTGTAAGAACCACAACTGATGGCCACCGGGACTCATTACTACTAGGCTCGTGCTTCAACTAGCTCGAGAACCCACCATCGTCGCCTTTTATTCCAAGCATCGCTCACTCACTAGAGCGCTGCGTGCCGCTGCTGAAACCTAGCTTGAGGCCCTTGGTATAGATCTCCTGCTTTTACACAACATCTAGTCTCTACAGGCTCTGTGATATAGTAGCGACGAGAGCTGATCGCTTCAACCGGGACATTGGAGAACGACGTGTGAGACTGGCTGCGGCATGGCGCGGCGATGCAGA